ATGCGTACTTAGCGGTGCCCCCAGCAGTCATACTCGCTGCCTTGGCCAGGAGACGAGGTGGAAGACGAGGAGGCGGAGGGAAAGAGGAGTCAGATATCACGTGACACACTTGAGGTCCATTCGGCACCGTGACTCTCATTCGTTTTCCGCGTGATCGCTCGAGCACGCAGTGGTCTTCTTATGTGCCAGATTTGCTTTTACTCCGACGGAGGGTTCGATTGTGACCTTGAGCAAAACGACCCGTCCCCAAAAAGAAAGAGGGTCCGCCGCACGCATGCCCGAAGGTACCTGGTAGCCAGACTTTGCGATGCCGCCGCCGACCAGATAAGCAAATATTGGACTTGACACAGCGCGCAGAAAGCGGCACTCAAGAAACGGCCAATCAATCAGCAGCTGCGAGCCCTGGGGCCCAGTCGAGCGAGGACAGCCGAAAACATCCTGACGAACCGGGGGGGGAGACATTGCAGCTTCTCGCGTCGCGAAGAATCAGGCTGCGATCGTGCTCAAAAAAAGCTGGTGTGGGCGAAAGTTAAACCGCGGTGAATCTGTCAGGAGATTACTGACGGCATCAGGGAGCGCGCGCCGCACGCGCCGAGCTGGAGGGCATGCGCTTTGTGTGTCGCAGGTTGCGACACGCAGCCGCCGCACCCCCCCCCCCCCCAAAAAAAAACAGCAGAGAGGTCCTCCTCCTCGTTCTCGTTCTCGTCCTCCTCCACCACCACCCCCTCCTCCTCCTCTTCGTCCTCCTCCTCCTCTTCCTCCTCCTCCTCGTGGTGGAGCAGAGGACGAGCTCTGCTGCAAGAGGGCACCCTGCGTCCAGAGCTGTGCTCGAGACGCGGAGGCGCGCAGCTCTACGGTCAGGCGCGCGCAGCACCGCCGATCTCCCGCGACGCGCCGTCGAGAAGCGCGCGCGGGGGGGGGGGGGGGGGGCGGAACAGCGGCGGACGCGGATGTCGCCTCGAGCAGTTCGGTTCGACCAGGTGCCGCCCATTTGCAGGAAGGCTTTGTTGGGTGGGCCGAAAGCAGCAGGATGAAGACATGGTGCCCGCCCACGTTTCAGAAGAGGGGCACCAGAAGTGTGCATCGCCTCGGAAAAACAGGACGAGTCGACGGAGCATGCTAAACATTGCAAGGCGAGCAGCCAGCAGGAGTCCTCAAATGATGGGACCGACAATCATACCGATCAAAAGTCGGACTCGATGTTCAGCGAGATTTCGGGCAGTTTGCATGGTGGCAGAACTGGCAACCCAGTGCGATTGACAGACGTGCAGCAGGTGGTGCAAGATTGGCTTCCCGCTGGCATGTTCACACACTTGCCCATCGATGAATCCTGCTGTCGGGATTGCGGATCGGCGCGCATTTGGCGCGCCAGGGCCCGCCCTCTCCTTGTGTGCAGGCCCTCGTGTTCCATAGTTCCCCTTCGTTTCCTCCCTTGTCCCCTTCGGTCGCGGGGCTCCTCTGCGTGGCTGGCTCCTCGGTTTCCTCCTCCCCCTTCCCTGCCCGGTTCCCCCGTTCGCCACCGCCCCCCTATAGTCAGGGTGGCGTTACCCCCCACGGAGGGACCAGAGCTCCGTCCGGGATTCCAGGAGACGTTGCGCACTTCGGCGCTCGGAGCCTCGAAGTGGCACTGGGCGCTCTCCTCCTTGCGCCTGGCCCGCTCGCCGGCCCGGGGTCACTGCCAGCGGCGTCACGCCCCCTGCACTTCAGGCAGGAGCGGAAGAGCCCCCCGCAGCGGCGCATTCGTTCGCCTTATGGTGGCGGCGTGGGGGGGCGGTGAGATGGGAGGGCGGCCAGCGAGGCACCGCAGGCAAGCCATGGCAGAGAGATGCCTGGCCGTGCATCCACATCTTCGCAAGGTCATCCTTGTACAATCTCAATCCCCATCGAGGCTCGCTGTTCGGGGCCCGCCTCGTCGTCCTCCTCCCCCTCCTCCTCCTTCTCCTCGTCCCCCTCCTCCTCCTCCTCCTCCTTTTTCTCCTCCTCCTCCTCCTCCTCCTCCTCCTCCTCCCACCTCCTCCTCCTCCTCCTCCTCCTCTTCCTCCTCCTTCTCCCACCTCCTTCTCCCACCTCCAAGGTACGAGATCTCACCTCGCGGAGGAAGAGCGGGGAGGGGGGGAAGAGCGATGAGCGAAGAGGGAGACGGGAAGTGGGAGGGATAATGAACAGGAGGAGAACGACGGAGGAGGAGGAGCAGGAGCAGGAGCAGGGAGAGGAGGAGGAGGAGGAGGAGGAGGAGGAGGAGGAGGAGGAGGAGGAGGAGGGAGGCGGCGGAGAAGGAGGAGGAAGGAGGTGTGAGAGGAGGAGAAGGATGGCGCAGGAGAGAATATGAGTTGGAGGGTTGAGGGGGAAGAGGAAGTATGGAGAAGAAGCTCAGGCACCTCCGAGAGCTGCCACGGAGGTCGAACCCTTGCCAGGCTTCCTGTCCCCATTGCAGACCCGACAGCAGGAACACGACAGCCACGCGCATCCCCTCGACCAGCCGGAGACCATGCAGCGCCATCTCTTCAGGTACCTCGAGGCGCGCCAGGGCGGCACCAGGGCCCGAGAGAGGTGCGGTGCCGTCGCCGAGGCTATCCAGAAGTACGCCGGCGAGGACGTCGACGTCTCCATCTTCGCGATGGTCCTTCGGAGCAGACTTCCCGAGCAGCCGTTCCTGAACGTCGACGCTGTCCAGGAGCACGTGGAGGAAAAGCTGGGCGAGCTCCTGAGCCAGGGCCTCGGCGCGGCAGAGCGGTCACGATCGCGGCGATCGGCCTCTGGTCGCTGTGGCGAGCGCGCTGCTTCTGGCCCTGGCTCCGGGCACGCATGGCGCGGCCGGGCGCGCTGCGTCGCCCAGCTCCCTGGGGCGTCTGGCAAACCGGATTGCGGCCCCCGTGTAGAGGGCGGTTGTCATCCCCAGCGGAGGGCCACATAGAATGGGGGCGCGCCTCAAGAAGCCATATGCTTTTCGTCAGGGTATCCTGGGTTTCTCCGATCCGCGCGCTGCGCGGTGACTTCCCGCGGCCGTTAAGAAGCTGCTGCGTTCAGAGCGCTCACCCTCAAGTGCACCTCGCGCACGGGTTCTCAGGGTTGGGTTTCTTGCGAGGAGATCTTGCGGCCGCGCCCGCGGTGTATGGGATCCTCGAGACATGGCCTTACCTTCAAGGATCGAATGAGCTGGCATCTCTTCCGTGGCGGGATCTCTCTTCCGAGAGATGGCAACTCTTTGGGGGTCCAGGGCTCCCAGAGCCCGCCACATGGACGCTCGCAATGGGGCTGTTGATATGGTAAGGCTTCAGGTTGTGCACAGACATCGCCCCCAGGTAGTTTCAGCCGGTCTCCACAGCCCCCCCCCGAGTAGCCCCAGCTGGCCTCAACAGGCCCCGAGTAGCCCAGGGCGGTCTCAACACCCCAACCTGTGGCGCCGAGCGCCGCAGACGCGCCGCCCGAGGCGGCGCCAGGATGTTGAGTCTGACCCGGACTACTCAAAGGGGCCTGCTGCGGCCAGCTGGGACCTACCTGTAGGGGCGATGCCTGCACGCAGCCCGAAGCCTTACCATGCTGATCGGCGGCGCGCTCGGAGTTGCGGGTGGTCCGACCGCGCGGCCGGGCGGCCGCGGTCGGCCCGGCGAGTCGCGGCGAGCGCGGCGGTGGGCGGCGCGGTCGGCGGCGTGCGAGGCCGAACGCGCGCCTGGGGCGGCGCGCTCGGCCCCCCTTTGGTGCCGAGGCCAGGACGCCGGGTGCCAGGCGTCCCTGGACGCGGCGCGGAGGGGCCTCCGGGCGCTCGGGGTGCCCCTGCGGGACTGCCAGGATCCAGGGTTGCGAAGGCCACGTGCCGCCGGAGGCTCCCGCACACATGGACGGTCGTCGGGGCGGGTAGCGCCGGATGTGTGGCTGCGGTCGAGAACTTGTGCATGGCGTGTCGCGCCGCCGATTCTGGCCCAGCGACACAGTATCCGCTTGCAGGGCATAGCGTGTCGCTGGGGCCGCCTCCGCGACACGCTATGCAAAAGTTCACGACCGTACCCCGTTCAGTTCCACCGATGGCACGCAGCCTGTGTCGGCCTCATTACACCGCCTGCGTCGTATTAAAGGGCTTCGGTGGAACAGCACTCGTTGGCGCTAACACACTCCTTGAGGATTGTCGATGACCACCACCACCATGACTGAGCAGGGCCACATTGGGCCCCAGGGTGGTGTAATCATCGACCCTCCTGCCCTCGGCCCTGGGGTCGCCCTGTTGAGGCATGGCGGTGCTGTAAATGGGCCTCCTGCGTGCACGGGGTCGGTCTGAGGTTTGGCCACCTCCTCGTCAACCCCCTCATACACTCAACCATTCCTCCTCCTCCCCCTCCTCCGCCTCCTCCCCCCTCCTCCTCCTCCTCCTCCTCCTCCTCCTCCTCCTCCTCCTCCTCCTCCTCCCTCCTCCTGCTCCTGCTCCTCCTCCTCCTCCTCCTCCTCCTCCTCCTCCTCCTCCTCCCCCTCCTCCCCTCCTCCCCCCTCCCCCTTCTTCTTCTACATTCAACCTTGGCGGCGCACGCAGGGGGGTGTCGCGAGGGGGGCGGCCTTGTGAGAAGGCGGGGGGGGGGTCTCAGAAGGCGGGGTGCTTCAGGAGCCCGGAGGCGACCGAGAAGGCTTCTCAGAAGCCGGGTGAGCTTCCAGGAAGCCACCTGCCTTGTCAGAAGCCCCCCACCCGCCTGCTCAGGAGGCCGCCCCATTCGCGCCCACCCCCCGCGCGCACCGACAGCAACCGCGGCAGCAAGGACGGACGGCTTCCACGTGGCTGCCCCTTCGTCAATGCCTGCTTGGCACCGTGCACAGACGTTCACGCGTCTTGCACCCGTACCTTGCATCACTCATCCGTGTTGGATTGTAGTCCCCTTCCACTTGCTCTCCTCCCCCCCCGAGGCCCCCAGCGAGGCGATGACAAGTGCCCGTGACAGTGCTGACAAGCTGGCTCATGGAACATGCGCAGTCTGGCACACAGATGGCAAATCGGGGCATCGGCATCAGCGCTTTGGGGCTCTTGCTGCCCACGAGCTGAGAGGCTTCGACGGAAAAGCTCCGACGCCGTGATGCTTGCCTATCCGTGGGCGGCTGTTCGTTTCGGATGTGTGTGTTGACGGCCCAAGGGCCCGAAAATGGCCCCCGGAGGATGATACTTACGTGGGGGACAAAGCAGTGACGTCGGAGGTCTGGGGCAGCGGTGACACTGCAGTCGTCCCCTGGAGCGTCAATCGTGGTCGGGGGGATCTCCAGAGGCCCCTGGAGGCCTCCGAAGCCTCAGAGAGGGCCAAGGGCACATCCCAACGCCTCCCCTCCCCACCCACACTGCAACGACGCGGTGTGGTCATCCTCGTGTGCAAATCAGCAGATCGCCTTGCAGTGGACCGCCTTCCGCAGGATGACTGGAGCAGTAGTCTCCCGGGGACACTGTTGGCAGCTGCTTGCCTCGAGAAAGAAACAAGAAGCCCCCCCCCCCCGCTGCCTCATCCCTCCCCGAGAGATTTCCCCAGGGCCAGATTTCCGTCTCGAGCCGTTTCTGCTTCGGCCCCGGGGCCGGCTGAGGGCCCCGGGAGGCCGCCGACACGGCGAAGAGCTTCTGCCTGGATTGCCCCAATGCCTTGGTATCTGACCCTCCCATCGTGCCTCCCCCTCCGCCCCTCCCCCCCCTCTCGGTCGAGAGGACATCTCGCAGGACATGTACGAGGCCCGCGACCACGGGCTCGTGATGGCCCGGCTCGACCAGGTCGTGCCGGGGCTCGCTGCGGCGAGGGCGGCGGGCGACCAGGCCCGGGGAGGGCTCTGGAGGGGGCTGGGCTTTCCCTTGACGTTGACCACCTTTATGCGGATGTCCTGGTCCTCCTCCTCCACTTCCTCCTCCTCCTCCTCCTCCCCCCCTCCTCCTCCCCTCCTCCCCTCTCCTCCTCCTCCCCTCCTCCTCCCCCTCCTCCTCCTCCTCCCTCCCTCCTCCTCCTCCTCCTCCTCCTCCTCCTCCTCCTCCTCCTCCTCCCTCCTCCTCCTCCTCCTCCTCCTCCTCCTCCTCCTCCCCCTCCTCCTCCTCCTCTCCTCCTCCTCCTCCTTCCTCTCCTTCCTCCTCCTCCCTCCTCCTCCTCCTCCTCCTCCTCCTCCTTCTCCCTCCTCCTCCTCCTTGCCCTCCCCCTTCACAAATACACAGTATGAATACGACTCTCCTCTCTCCCCCGACTCTGTCCGGAAGATGTTCGCCCCCCCTCCGCGTAGCAAGTTAGTCTTCTTCAAATGTTGTTCCCGCTACAGCGTTGGCCTTATTTTCTGGTGTCCGCTCGTTCCGAATCGTGTTCCCGCTGCAGCGCTGGCCTCATTTCCGCGTTTCTGGTCATTCCGACTCGTGCTCCCGCTGAAGCGCTAGCCACATTCCCGCGCGTCTGCTCGTTCCGAATCGTGTTCCCGCTGCAGCGCTGGCCTCATTCCCCGTGCCATGGCATGAAATGAGATGTTATGGTGTGTTCCGCTGTGCGATGCCATGCTTTCAGCTGCAATGTTATGATGTGCAGTGCTTGACTACGCAGTGCCACGCGATGCTATGTCATGCTACGCGTTGATCTTCAACGCCATGCTATGTCATGTAATGCTATGCCATGTTACGACATCCGACTGCGCAATCAGAGAGGATATCTACGCCATGGTAAGGAATGGAAGGGAGGGGTAGTACGTCCGATAAGACACTTGCGCACCTAGCTTGCCCCCTTCCCGTTCCTCCTCCTCCTCCTCCTCCTCCTCCTATTCCTCCTCCCCGTCCTCCTCATTCTCCTCATCCGTCAGTTTTCCTCATTGGATAACAAATTCCCTGTCGCACCCCCAGACGTGCCCGTAGGGCAGGCAGGGCGTTTCGCTCGAGACATCCACACCATGCATGATCCCGAAACTTAAAAGTTACACTGTTGTGACCTTCGGTGGAGCCCCTCATGGGGCCACACGAAACGTGCGAGGGGCGTGTAGTTGTTCGCCCTATATGTGTTTCTGAAGGCCCCCGGGGCCCGAAGGCGGGCCGCACACACCCAAAACAGCGAGAATCCGAAAACCTGCACAGATCAGATAGGAAAGAAACGACGAGCTCGAACAAAAAGAAGAGCATGGAGGGATCTATAGAGAGGACAGGGAACCTTTCCATGTTTCCTCTCCCTCCGCCAGACATGGAGCCTTTTCGGGGCGTCTCTCCCGCAACGCCAGGCGGGACAGGGAGCATTGTTCGGGTTCCCTCTCCCACCTTCCCCCTCCTCCTCCTCCTCCTTCTCCTCCTCCTCCTCCTCCTCCTCCTCCTCCGCCTCCTCCGCCTCCTCCTCCTCCTCCTCCTCTTCCTCCTCCTCCTCCTCCTCCTCCACGAGCTCGCGGGGGTGCGACTCAGACGTATACAAGAGAGAAAGCGTGTCATGGGCGTCCTGGCCAGGAGGGGCAAGTTGGCTTCGCTCCAACGGGGACGAGGCCAGGTTCATACTCTATGGCGCACGGGCCTGCTGCCCGCTGCTGCGCATGGAGCTGGAGCTAGCGGGGTCGTCCCTGCCACGCTGGCAAAGCTCCGCACACTGGCAGGCTCGTTGGTGGGAGCCAAATCACACGCCAGCCTTACGGCTTGGCTTGCCACACAGAGCGATGAATGGTTTGACCCGATATTCGACGTCACGACAGACCTAGTATGCAGATATGCTATCACAGTGTGGGATGGATTGGTACCCCTCAGTCAGCTACAGCGGGCGTGGGCTGCCATGATGGAAGCTTGGAATGGTGAATACACGTGGGCCAGATGCAATGGCCCTCTCTCAGCGGTGTCGCTCAGCCTGCACAGGGTGGACTGGAAGATGGCGTCGGCACATATACTATACGACGACCAGGGCAACCTCGTGAACCTTCTTACCACCACGCCGTGGGATGTGAAGCTTTTGCTGCGACAGAGCATTGGACGATGGCAGATGTTACGTATTGTTAGCCACATGCAGCCCATAGTTGGGAATCCCCATGGAGTCTGGAGGCGTGCACTTCGCAACTCAATTCTCAGCTTGAAGAATCCGATACATAGAGGCTGCGCCCGCAGATTGCTTGGTTCCGCATTGTGGCCCCCAGCAAGGAAGAAGGCCCTCGGGATCTCGGACAGCCACCAGTGCGAGATGTGTGTGAGTTCTGAGGCTGGCACTTTAGGGCACCAGTTGTATAACTGTGAAGGGGTGCTTCACCCACCTGAGGAGCTGTCTGTTGAATCCCTTTCTGAAGAGGTCTTGGAGCGCAGGGAGTATCTGCGGGGTCTTGGGGACAATGGGCTTGGCGACCCTGAGTGGGACTCTCTGGAGCTGTACGGGTTGCCTTACCATCCCATCAAGATAGCCCCCAACCCACGCAGTGCCCTGTGTTCCACTGGGGGGCTACGCATCTTCCCTGGGGTCGGCGGATCTACACTGACGGCTCGGGGCTCGCGAATGCGAGCCCTGAACTGCGTAGGTGTGGATGGGCCGCGGTGGAGTTGTCGGACTCTGGGCTGCCCTTGAGGGCGGTGTTTGGGCCGCTCCCTGGGCGCCAGTCGGTGCCCCGTGCGGAGCGGTACGCGGGTTTGATGGCTCTTTCGGTAGCCCCCCAGGCGACCACAATATATAGTGATCATTTAGCCTTTGTGCAGGAAGGCCAGAGCTGGAGTCCCCAGCTGGCCTGCGGTTTGTCACGACACGCGGATGTGTGGCGTCGTATCTTCCAGCTCTTCGAGCAACATAGGCCTCCGCCCGAGTTTGTTTGGGTCCCTGCACACAGAGACATGGACGAGGTCATGTCTCTGGAGCAAGGACAGATCACCAGTTTCTTGGGTAACGCTTGGGCCGACTTTTTCGCGCGCCTTGGAGCCCAGGACCATCAGTATGCGCAGGTTTGTCTTGACGCGGAGAAGGCCCATTTGAAGGCCTGCAAAGCCACCTGGGGTTTCTTGGCGCGCGCGGTCCAGATCATTGGGGAGTACTCTAAGACGTTTGAGCCCCCAACGATTCCAGTGAGCCAGTATGTAGAGCGAATCAATTTGACACTCATAGAGCACGAGATTTATCGACTGCCGACGCGTGCTGAATGGCGTTGCAGGAAGTGCAATATGTCTGCCAGGAGCGAAGCCACACTGCGAGTTACGTGCAGCGGGGCCGCTAGGAGGTGCCAGGGCAGCGATCTAGAGCGCTGCCGCGCCGACATCATTTTCGCGGCCGAACCCCAGGCACGCCGCCACACTGCGAGCAGCCCCGCGGTGTCAGATCCTGTTCCTCCCTCGCTGGGCCAGGACCCCTCCTCCCCTTCCTTGACCGACGCCGCGTTGGAGGCTGGGTTGAATGCCATAGCTGCGCTGGGTCACAGGCCCGTTCGCCACGGTAGGGTGATCATATGCCAGAGGTGCGCTGGATACTGGATACTCCCCGACGGCAAATGCCGCAAGCTGAGTAGAACGTGCGAAGGAGAGGCCAAGGTTGCCAGCACGATTCAGAATCACAGAATGTACTGGCGTCGCGCAGAGGTAGGTTGCCACCCCAAGACGGGCGAAGATTTGGGTCCGTGGGATGGCGCCCTTGTTTCTGGTTCGGAGCCTGGGGCCGTTTGTTTCCCGTCTTCCGAGGCTACTGGACCTAGGGCTAACTCTGCGTGTTCGGACAAACAGGATAGTATGGGGCAAGGACACTGTGGTGGTCGTGTCGTGGCGTCGTCCCGTCGTGCACCACGTCCTTGCCCACCCACGGCCGCCTCGCTCGAGTCCCGAGCGAAGGCCGAGAGCACAGTTTTGTCTCAGGCGCCGTCGGTGCCTGCTTCGGACTCTGATTAAATCAGAGTTGGCCTCCTGCTCATTCTCCACAACGCTGGAGGCCAGTCTTCGGGGCGTTTAGCGCCCCCTGTCGCCAGGCCTTCACCCCTGGCCCTCCTCACTGCTCGGCGCTAGTCACAGACCTGCGCCTCGGCAGCCGCAAGCCGCAAGCCTCCTCCTCCTCCTCCTCCTCCTCCTCCTCCTCCCCCTCCTCTTCCTCCTCCTTTTCCTCCTCCTCCTCCTCCAGTGTGCCGTGGAGCTCCCTTCGGGGCCGCGCTCCTCGTGAGAGGTGTTCCGAAATGGGTGCGGCGCCGCCATGCAAGCCACCGGAGCCTCCCGCGGAGCTCCCTCCGGGGCTACGATCCTCGTGAATGGGGTGGAGCTTCCCTGTAACCACTGCCAATGGGGCCTGCTGTGGAGCACCCTACGGGGCCACGATCCTCCTGAGGGGTGTGCCATATGATCCTCATGAGAGGTGTGCCGTATCGATGGTGATGATGATGCTGCTGCTGCTGCTGATGATGATGATGATGATGGTGATGATGATGATGATGGTGATGATGATGATGATGATGATGATGGTGATGGTGATGGTGATGGTGATGGTGATGGTGATGATGATAACAATGATGAATCATAGTATGGTGATGATGATGGTGATGATGATGATGATGGTGATGAGGACGGTGATGATGGTGGTGGTGGCGATGATGATGATGATGATGATGATGATGGTGATGAGGATGCTAAAGATGGTGATGGTAATGGCGGTGATGGTGATGGTGATGGTGATGATGATGCTGATGATGATGATGGTGATGGTGATGATGATGATGGTGGTGATGATGGTGGTGGTGGTGATGGTGATGGTGATGATGGTGATGATGATGGCAATGGTGGTGGCGATGACGATGATGCTATTGATGGTGGTGATGGTGGTGTTGGTGATGATGATGATGGTGATGATGATGATGATGATGATAATGATGATCATGATGATGATGGTGATGATGATGATGGTGATGGTGATGGTGATGGTGATGATGATGGTGATTGTGATGTTGGTGGTGGTGATGGTAATGATGATGATGGTGATGACGATGTTGATGATGATGGTGATGATGATGATGATGATGATGATGATGGTGGCGATGATACTGATGATGGTGATGATGATGATGATGGTGATGATTGCGGAGAGCAGAGGCAGGGAAGAGAAGAGGAGGAGGAGGAGGACGAGGAGGAGGAGTAAGCAGACACGCGGACTGCCAAGTAAAAACGAGGACCCAGCACCACAGGACACTTGCGAAAAATATTGGGATTGCGACCAGCACCTTGGCACTGAGCAACGCGACGGAGTTGAACGCCACAACGTTCAGCAGTACGACAGGATCCAATACCAACAGCTTCACATTCACGGGTGAGACGAGCACTGCAGCTAGCACCACGTCTTGGATCAGCAAGTCGGGGACCAGCATTTTGCCACCGAGCTGAACGACGGGACCAATCACCGCGACGTTGTGCGTCAAGACGGGGTCCAGCACCAGCACCCTCGCATCTACGAGCGAGGCGACCAGTGCAACGAGCTTCACGTCTTTGTGCAGCACGTCCGGGACCAACACCTCCACGTTGCCAAGCATGGCGAAATCGAGCACTACGACGTTGAGCAGCACGACGGGATCCAGCACCAGAACCACGAGAGAGACGAGCAGTGCATCGAACACCGTTTTTCAGCAACCCGTCTGCCGCCAGCACCTCGACATTGAGCAACGCGACGGGGTTTAGCACCACGACGTTGAGGAACACGACGGGACCCAGCACCAACAGCATCACATTCACGAGTGAGACGAGCAGTACAACGGCCATCGCGTTTCTGAGCAGCACGTCATGGACAGGCCCGACAATGAACAGCACGACGAGATCCAGCTTCACGATGTTGCGCTTCACGACAGGACACAGCACCAGCAGCCTCACATCTACGAGTGATGCGAGCAGTACACTGAGCACCACGTCTGTGAGCGGTACGTTGGGGTTCAGCACTGCGACGCTGAGCAGCACGAAAGAGTCAAGCACGATCGCGTTGAGCTGCACGGCTAGATCCGATACCAGCTACCCCACATTTGCGAGACAGACAAGCAGTGCTACGAGCACCACGTCTTCGAGCAGCACGTCCAGGATCACCACCTCGACACTGAACGGCACGACGGAGTCGAGCAGCACGTGCAAGGACAGCTCCTCGACACCGAGCAGCACGACAGGATTCAGCACTGGCAGTCGCGCACCTACGTGCGAGACGGGCAGTGCGAGCGGCGCACCGAACACAACGTCTCCTCGCAGCACGTCTGGGAGCACCACCGCGGTCAAGAGCAGCACGACGGAGTGGCCACGCCACGCGTTGGAGAGGTCTCTCGGGCTCGTCCAGGCGACCGCTGGGAGGTCGGCAGGCCGCTCCGGGCCTCCAGCGGAACCCCTGCCAGGGCGAGAGAGAGGGGGCGCGGCCTTCCGGGCACCGCGATCCTTGGCTCAACCCCCCCCCCCCCGGTGGCGATGTCCGCGACCTTGCGGCCCCGCGCCGCGCGGAGGACAGCTGGGCCCCTCTCGGAGGATCCCTGGGGGCTTGACGAAGGAGTGGGGGCGGGGCCAGCACGGCAACGCGACCTCCCGCGGTGCGCGGGCAGCATCACGGCGCACGCCGCGACGCGCTCGCGCACCACGCTTCGCACCACTGTGTCCACCGCGACGTCCACTTGCTACGCCGACGCGGGCGAGCAAGGCCCTCGTGGAACAGCCCGGGCGCCCCAAGCCGCAGGGCCGGCAAACGCCGGCGCGCAGCCCGCACCTCAGCGGAACAGCTCCGCCCACCAAGCCCATGCCCTGGCCCGCCAGGAAACGGGAGCCAAGGGCCCCAGAACCCTTGTTCCAGGGAGAGAGAGCCCCGGCGAGAGCTGTACGGCCCATTGCCAGGTAGGCGGGCCCGCATGCACCGCCCCCTCGCGTTTCCTGCGCCCCAGACGGCACAAGGCGACGATGCCTCTGGAGGCGGGGGGCAACCAGGGCCCTGCCCCAAGCGCGAGGCCGCCTCCCGCGCATGTCACAGGAGCGCTCGGCCACACGGAACGGAGCTCAGCCCCCACCGCACCTCCCGCTGCTGTTCGCCGCACGCCCGACACCAGCTGCGCCCCCCTACAGCCAACGGCTTTGAGGGAGGACCTGCGCGGGGCTGGCGAGGAGTCGAGGGCTGGGCCCGGGGCTTGGGCCAGCGAGGCGCCACAGCTCGATGGGCTGAGCCGTGCTGCCGCACACCCAGGTCATCAGGCCGCTATACCCTGTCCCACCAGGACACGGGGGGTCACGGCCTCGGCACCGCCCACCAGGATGTGGGCACCCGTGCGACGCCAGTGCAGATCACCGATCGGAGACACGCCTTCACGCAACACCCCACGGTTGCCAGTCAACCGCCACCATTAGTCAAGAAGCGATCGCGAGATCGCTTCTTGACTAATGGTGGCGGTGCCCATCGATCGCGTGATTGCCCATCGATCGCGTGATTGCCCTCGCCACCATAGTGCCCATCGATCGCGTGATTGCCCTCGCCACCATAGTCAAGAAGCGACGGAGGGTCATGACCATCATTGGCGCCTTCGTACCGCCATGCAAGCCGACCGCACTAGGCATACCGTCACGGATGAACCTGGCCCGCCGACCTCATGGACCCACGCCGTTACGTCATCCGAGCAGATGGACACCAGCCCAGATTGCACAATCGTCGCGTACCACCAGGTAAGCGACGACACCCATCCAAGATCCCGACAACGATGACGGCACGCCCGATGATTCCATCGAAAATCCAGACGACGATGGAAGGTACATCCCGACGTTGCAACAGTGTGCTACCAGCCTTGCTAACATCCTGCGTATCATTCAGGAACAGTCAGGAAGCCGTCTTGACAGATTACACAGGGCGCAGTCCGTCTTTCCCACCGCCTGCTCACCTCGGGGCCCCTCCCCAAGCAAGCCCTCAGGCGCGCCTCGATGTTCACCACTAGCACGCCAGCGTTAGCCTCTCCATAACCCTGAGCGCGCTGCGCGAACTGCTGACAAGTGCTCCGTGGCCCTAGCACTGGCCCGCTGAGGGGGATGCCCCAAGGCGGCGCCTCGGCTCTGAGGAACAGAGGCGCGCATGCCAGCGCGCGCTTGCAGCCGGTGCCTTCTGCCCGGGCGTGCAGACGGGGAGTGCCACGCCCTGGTCGCCACAGACCAGCCTTGTTTTCCAGCTGGGGTTGTTTACAGACCGCGCCAGGGGCCAGGATTCCCCGCGCTTGTGCATTGCGCGGCACCCCCCGCCTATGCGTGGGAGGCCTGGGCCGCAGCAAATCGCCGCTAGGCCTGGACAAACTGCCATCCGAACTGTTGCGCTCTCTCCTCCTCTCTCCTCGCCGCTCCTCGTCTCCGGCTTTCTCTTTGCTTTGTCTCACCTCCTCTGTCCTCCTCTCCTCCTCTCTCCTCTTCTCTCCTCCGCTCCTTCTCAGCATCAACCTCTGGCCTACCCACGTGCTACCGATCGGGACAGCGGGGGGAGAGAGGAGGGGGGCAGAGCGCACGTCTCTCGCCCGTTGTGGGCCTCCTGTGCGGCGCTCGTCTCCAAGGCGGGACCTGCCTCGAAATCATCGTCGGAACGCGCTCCAGGAGGGCCCACGTGGGTCGATGAGGGGCCACGTAGAGTCGGTTAGCGACGCCCGTGTCCCGACAGTCGCTGCACTGCTCGGCATCCAGACGAGCTGGGCCAGCTCCAGATGGCTTCTGGTGGCCACGGGCAGGTCTGACATGTCCTGCTGTTCTGGCGTGGGCAGCCTCGGACCGAGCCCCCGTCGTAGTCGGTGATAGACTTGCTGGCGCAGCGGTGGAGGAGGGGTGGCTCGGCCGGCCGGGCTCGGCCCCGCCCTCTTCCGAGGCATTCTCCCAGTGGGCATGGGAGCGGGGGGGCGGGGGGCGGGGGTCCGGGGCCCAGGCCACCGCATCCTGCGTCGGCCCCGCGGCCGGAATCCCCCCGCAGGCGTTCCGTGTTCCGTTCAAGACGTTCGTGCGGACCCTGAAGCTGGTCTGGGCTCACGCGTACGAGCGCCGCCTGGACGAGTTCGCCAGCGCGTTCGGGAAGCTGGACCGCGACGGCGACGGGCTCCTCGGCAGCGCCGAGATGCGGGAGCTCGCCGTGAAGATGGCAGACGTGCGGCGGAGCGCGACAGCTTCCACTGGCAGCGACGACGAGTCACAGGACCCAGGCAGTGCCAAGGCGGTCACCACTCAGGGGATCGAGGAGGGGAGGACCCCCGATGCCGCCCCCCCCAAGAGCCACGCAGAACGCCCAAGCACGTAAGAAACAAGACTCGGTCCGTCCCGTCCCCTCTTGCTTCTCATGCTTCCTCTCCTCCTCCGCATACTCTTCTCCTCCTCCTCCTCCTCCTCCTCCTCCTCCTCCTCCTCCTCCTCCTCCTCCTCCTCCCCCTCCTCCTCTCCTCCTGTTCCTCGTCCTCCTCGTCCTCCTCCTCCTTCTCCTCCTCCTCCTCCTCCTCCTCCTCCTCCTCCTCCTCTCCTCCTCCTCCTCCTCCTCCTCCTCTTAGTCCTGAGCCGCTTGAAGCGAAAAGTGTTTATGCCCCAGCGCCATACCTTTCTTGTTTGGCAGAAGGACTGATATGTCAGCCGACGTGGCTCTCTACTTTTTTTATCCTTCTCTGGGCTCTCTACTTGTCCCTCCTTCTCTTCCCCTATGTTTCCAAGATGGCTTTAAGAGGCGGCACCCAAGGGGGCTCCAAGAAAACTCCCAAGAGGCTTCCAAAGACTCCCAAGCTGTCTCAAAGAGGCCCTCAAGAGGCCTCAAGAGCCTCTCCCCCCCAGAGGCAGCCAAGATGCTCCAAGAGGCTCCTGGGACTGCCAAGAGACGCCCCAAGAGGCCTCCAAGAAGCGACCAATAGGGGCCCCAGGGCCCCAAGAGGCGATTTCGACGGTCCCAGAGGAGGGGGCTAAAATCTCACCCGCCCTGTAGGGCGTGAGTGGTTTTGATACCCCCCTCTTCCAACCCCCTTCTTCCTCTTCAGTACCCCCTCCCCCTGGACCTGAACGTGGCCTTTCGCGAGCGGTCAGAGCGTCCAAGATGGCCCAAGATGGCTCCAAGAAGACCCCAAAGAGCTAAAGATGGCCTCCAAGATCGCAAAAGATAGCCCAACATGGCCAAAGATCGCGTGCAACAGACCTCCAAGAGGCTTCAAGATCCCTCCAAGACGGCTCTAAGTGGCCAAAGGGCCTCGCAAAGACGGCCAAATGTTGTGCTTGCATTCTTGCCTTTCGCTTCCGATGGGCTTCTAAAGCCTCGAGATGGCCCCGGTATGGACCCAGAGATCCCCAAGAGAAGTACAAGAGAGGCCCAAGACGGCCCCAAGAGCGCCCAAAATCGCCCCAAGAGCGTCCCAAGAGAGCTCCAAGAGGCGATTTGAAGGCTCCGACGGGATTAACTCCGCATTCTTTGTTGATCGATGGCCTCCAAGATGGCCTAAGAGAGGCCCAAGAGTGGCCCCAGATGGCTCCAAGATGGCTTCAAGAGCGCTCCGAGCGGCCTCCAAGGGCCCGAAACCTTTCTAAAATCTTAATTCGCCGGCCCAACGGGCCAGAGGCGTGCCAAAATTTCCGGTAGCTGGTAAGCCGGCCCCTGAGATGGTCCAAGAGTGCTCCGAGTCGCCGACCGATCGGTCCAAGACGCCCAAGAGCCTCCAGACGGCCGCAGACGCCTCCAAGACGCCCAAAGAGGTCTCCAAGAAGAGTTCTCAAGAGGGCCCCAGGAGGCAAAAGTCATCAATTCTTTGTGGTTTTTGAAGGATGTTGGCGTTCTCACCTGCTCGGCTTCCCGACGCTGAAAGACGGCCAAAGAGGCCCTGCATATCGCCCCAAGACCGCCGAAGAGGCTTCCAAGAGGGCCCCAAGACGGTCCAAGAGGGCCTGAAGACGGCCCCAGAGGCCTCCAAGACGGCCCAAGATGGCCCCAGGACGGCCCCGAGAGGGGGCCCAGACAGGGAACCCGAACGGACATTTCGAGCCCTCGGCCCCAAAAGGCGCCCAGGAGGCTCCAAGAAGCCCCCAAGAGATCCCCAAGAGGCTCCAAGAGGTTCCCAAAAGGCCCCAAGAGGAACCCCAAGACGCCCCCAAGAGGCCCCCAGCAGGCCCCAAAGAGGCCCCCAAACGCCAGCGGTGGCACAGTACGGGCTGGCGGAATGAGCGACGCGATTAAATAAAAACAATGATGTTTGCTTTCTCGCCTTTCCGCTTCTGATGGGCTCTTGTGGGCTCAAGATGGCCCCAATGAAGACCGAAAAAGGTCTCTAGAGGGACCCAAGAGGGCTCCAAGACGGCTCCAAGAGCGCCCCAAACTGCTCTCGCCTCGCACGCGGAATCCAAAGCTGAAGCTAGAAAGGCAAAATTGAAATTCAAAACAAGTTGGAATGCAAAACATATGCAGTGCAAGAAAAGTGTAGTTCGGATCATGGTCGTTGGCGCCGTGGGCTTCCGACCCTCCCTGGACCTCCCCAAACCGCTCTCGCCTCGCACGAGGAATCTAAAGTTGAAGCTAGAACGGCAAGGCTGCAATGCCAAAAGAACTGCAATGCAAAACATGCAATGCAACATAAAACTGAATTGCAACAAAAAAACGGCAATGCAAAACAATTGTAAGTCTGATCATGGTCGTTGGCGCCGCGGGCTTCAGACCCTCCCTGGACCTCCCCAAACCGCTCTCGCCTCGCACGCGGAATCAAAAGCTGAAGCTAGAACGGCAAAGTTGCAATTCAAAAACAAATGCAATGCAAAAACAAAGTGCAAGGCAAAACTGTGTAATTCTGATCATGGTCGTTGGCGCCATGGGCTTCGACCCTCCTTGGACCTCCCCAAACCGCGTTCGCCTCGCACGCGGAATCCAAAGCTGAAGCTGGAACGGCAAAGCTGCAAGGCAAACAATGATTGCAATGAAAAAGATGCGATGCAACAAAAGTTGCAATGCAACAAAAAAGTGTAATTCTGATCATGGTCGTTGGCGGCGTGGGCGTCAGACCCCACCTGGACCTCGCTCGCGGAATCCAAAGCTGAAGCTAGACCGCCAAAGTTGCAATGAAAAACAATTGCAATGTTGGCCTCGCACGCGGAATCCAAAGTTGAAGCTTAAGCTCAAGCTCCAGCCTTTCGTTTTGATGTTTGGCGTCCCACCGTGCGCTACATCGGCTGAGGATCTGATCCTCCTCCTCTTCCTCCTCCTCCTTCTCCTTCTCCTCCTCTCCTGCTCCTCTTCCTCCTCATCCTCCTTCTCCTCCTGCTTGTGCTCTTCATATCCTCCTCATATTCCTCCTCCTCATCATCATCTTCACCGCCATCAGCATCATCATCATCCTCGTCATCAGCAGCATCATCAGCATCATCATCACCGTCATCATCATCATCACCATCATCATCCTCATTATCATCACCATCATCGTCATCGTCATCGTCATCATCATCATCATCATCATCATCATCATCATCATCATCATCATCATCATCATCATCATCATCATCCCGTTCCTCTTCCTCCTCCTCCTTCTCCTCCTCCTCCTCCTTCCCTTCTGTCCTCGACCCCATCGGGAGGATGAGGTGGCGACCCCGTTTTTACAGCAGGCGCATCGAACAGGAAAAATCGGCCTGCCCGCAGGTGCCCCCACGAAAAAAATATGTGGGGCATTCCAGAAAAGGCCTTGCCTCCGAGTTGCCTTAAGTCGGGCCTGTCCTTCACAGGGGGCATATTCAAGAATAGTCAAAAGATAGTCTGGGGACGATTGTTTGCCCATTTTTGATTTTTGCTGGGGCATGATTTGACTATTTGTTATTCTTCGCCCAAAATCCCCCTGTAGGGGGACACGCCCGACTTAACGAAAAGGCCTTGCCCTCGAGTTGCCATCGCTTTCGCGGCGGAAGGCGTCGCAAGGTCGGCGGAGGGTGGTGGAAGTGAACGAGGCTGGTTCCGCCAGCGGAAGCTCGGCGGAAGCTGGCGGAATTAAGAGACCGGGGGTGCGCGGGAGCGGGGCTGAGGCCAGACGGGCCTGCCGCTCCGCGCCCGCTGTCCGTTCCAGGGCCTCGTTTCCGATTTAGAAACGCGCCGCGTCGTTTTCACGGTTGTGCTGGTGCCCCCGCTAAACTTCCGAGGCAATGGGAGTCGCGTTGAAAAAAGGAAGCAAGAGTCGACCTCCCAAGAGATGACAGCATTGTTGGTGTCAGGGGTTTCTGGAATCGGCCATCGTATCCCCCGAGGCCCATGGGGACACACAGCAGTCTTCGGGCACCCCACGACGATCAAATGGTGAACGACGAAAGCGCCCCAAAACATGATATAGCAAGCTGCCCAATCGCATGGTCAGTGCATGCGCCTACTGTATTTATTGGTGACCCCGCGGCCTGCAGGGCCCGCTCGATGCGATCGATCCGACTCGATACTGACGTCGCCCGGCTCAATCCGATCAGAATTCGGTGTCGAGGCCATCCGTTTGGGTTTGATGGTTGCACGGCTGAGTCGTGTACTCCAGCACGGCTGATGCGGTTCGACTTCCGTGCCGTGCCGATGCAGCCCTTGAGCCGACGCACCCCACGACCCGATCCAGTGTGCATCGATTCGGTGTTGGGTGATCCTGCCATGGCGTTGCCTCTTAGGAGGCCGAAGAGGCGGCGGTCGCTGCCCTGCAGCGCGCGCGCGACGAGCTGCTCCCCAGCCTCGAGGGGCGCCCCCGCGCGACGTTCAGCCAGTGCGTGTCGATGTTCAAGGACGTGGTCGACGTCATCGGTGGTGGCGACGACGACGACGACAAAGACCGTGATGAAAATGGTGATAATGGTGATGGTGGTGGTGACGGTGGTAAGGATGGTGGTGATGGTGAGTATGATGAGGATGGTGAAGATGATTGTGATGGCGATGGTGATGATGATTGTGATGGCGATGGCGATGACGCTGATGATGAAGATGACGACGACGATGATGCGCAAGGACATGATCGACCTCCGCGGCTCCCTTGGAGAGCTGCAGGCATCGAAGGGCGACGAAAGCCTGCCTGAGCACAGACTCTCGAAGCACCCCGCGGATCTCTCGGCTCGGCGCCGGGCCGCCCCCCCGGCAGCGCCTCGCGCGAGAGCCCATCGCCAGGCCAGGACGCGCGCGCGGGCATCCGCAACCGCATGCCCATGCCGTGCTTCGCTCCTCCGAGGCAGACATCGCGGGCCAGGATCCGCTCGCGGAGGGGGCCGCGGCGGCCGAGCGGCGGCAGGCCACGGAGCTTGGCGAGGCCGCGCTCGTCGCTTTCACCGTCGCTTCTTCTCCGGACGTGGAAGGATACGAAAGAGGTAAGCCATCGTGATGTCCCGTTGTGGGCCATGTCTCTTTAGTATTGTGTTTGGGAATGAGGCCATCACACCTGCACACACACACACACACACACATACAAACACAACCACACAAGCACACACAAGCACACAGACACACATGCACACAGACACACAGACACACACACACACACACACACACACGCACACGCATACACACGCACACGCACACACACACACACACACACATACAGACGCCCACACGCCCACACGCCCACACGCCCACACGCCCGCACGCACGCACGCACGCACGCACGCACGCACACACACATACACACACACACACACACACACACACAGACACACACACACACACACACACACAGAAGCACACTCACATATACACACACACACGCACACACACACACACACACACACAGACACACACATATATATATAAATAAACACACACACACACACACACACACGCGCGCGCGCATATCACCTTTCTGTAATCTGGGACCCTGCGGCCCTCCCCCCCCCGTAACGGGGCCCCCCCAAATCCTCGGCCCGGGGGGCACCTTGGACGCCCTTGCTGACGGTCCCCTGTACTTTCCTTTCTGGGGCTCCTGAAGCCCCTGCGGGCCCGAATCGGTCAGGAGGGCGGCCGAGCGGCCCCGCGAGAGTCCAGAGAGGCCCGAGAAAGAAGACCCCCAAGAGGCATTCGAAACGCACAAAAACATTGATGTCCGATGGTTTTGTGTAATTTTGGGAACGCTCTGTTATTCGGTCTTCCGGGCGTCCGGGACCGCCCAGGAGGCCAGAGAATCGCCCCCGATTTAACCAAGAAAGCTTCCAGGCAGTCGAGGAGGAGCCTCAAGACGGCCCAGCAGGGCCCCAAAATGGCCCGAAGAGAGCCCCATGACGGCCCAAGATGGTCCCAAGACGCCCCCCGAATCATTGCAAACCGTGACCCGGTCGTTCAGGGAGGCCGCGGTTGGAAGCAGGGTGGCCCGGGAAAGCGCCCAGAGGCCCCCAGCTGGAACCCAGGAGGTCTCCAGAACGCCCCCACAAGCCCTTGAAAGTTTTCGTGAGGCCCGTAAGAGGCTCTCCTAAGATGACCCTCCGCAGAAAGTGCCGAAGATGGGAACGAATTAGCAGGGAAGGGCAAGAATGAGGAAGAGGAAACATGAGGGAAGGATGACGAAAAAGCATCATTACAGCGCTGATGTCGGAAAAGGCAACAACGAGCTATCGCTAAATGTTCCGTACTGACTGATTGCCCTCATGTCTGCATGCAAAATCTCAAGGACCAAAGTGCATGGCGCGAAGCGCCAATGCAGTCTTGTTTGTATGTGTAACATCTATGTATATACACATACATATACATACAGGTATATATAGATGGTACCCTCCCCAGCACCACCTAACCACCAAAACCACAAAACCTGCACCAATTGTTTGATCGTCGTCGTCCTCCTTCTCATCCTCCTCCTCCTCCTGCACCTCCTCCTCGTCCTTCTCCTCCTCCTCCTCCTCCTCCTCCTCCCCCTCCTCCTCCCTTCTCCTCCTCCTCCTCGTCCTCGTCATCGTCCTCCTCCTCCTCCTCTTCCTCCTCCGTCTCCTCCGACTCCAGCACGACAGGTCTCCTCGTCCTCTTTGTAGCAACACAGAGCCAGTAATAGACAGCGGTTGGCGCCCTCGGTGCAAAGAAACGGTGTGTACGTTTGGCGATTCTTTGTTTTTTTGGCCTGGGAAGCAAGGAAGCATTTCGTATGCGAGTTGTTTTGTGTTTCGAGTTTTCAGGCCCCAACGCTCGCACGGGCCTCCTTCCTTGCATCCTGCGCTGCGCCTGCCAGACCCCGAAACCAAGTATGCACAGTGCTTGGCGCCCTCGGTACAAAGAAACCCTGTGTATGTTTGATGCGTTTGGTTGTTTAGGGGGCTGTGAAACAAGGAATCACCGCGTGCGTTTGGTGGTTTTGCTGTTTCGTTTGGATTTAATACTTGGGGGGGGGTTCTCGCCGCGGCCTCCCTCCCAGCACCCCTCTCTGAGCCTCCCACCCCCACCCCCCCACCCCCAAAAAAAAGCAGTGTTTCCCTGCGCCCCAGAACAAAACTCAAAACCAAAGAAAACGCCCCCTTCAAAACAACAACTTCTCCCTGCACCGAGGGCGCCAAACGCTGTCGATTGTTGGCTTTGTGTTGCTACGATGCTACGAAGAGGAGGGCGAGGAGGAGGAAGAGCAGGAGGAGGAGGAGGAGACCTGTCGTGCTGGAGCCACAGGAGGCGAGACGAGGAGGAGGAGGAGGAGGAGGAGGAGGAGGAGGAGGAGGAGGAGGAGGGGAGGAGGAGGAGGAGGAGGGGGAGAGAAGGAGGAGGAGCAGGAGGGGGAGGAGAGGGATGAGAAGGAGGCCGACGACGAGCAAATGATCAATCAGTGAAGGATGTGTCGTTTTGGCGGTTTGGGAGGCTCAGAGAGGGTTGCTGTGAGGGTTGCCGCGGCGAGCATTGGGGGCCCCAAGCCCCCCCATACACACACACACACACACACACACACACAAAAGCACGCCGCGCTTCCTTGTTTCACGGCCGCAGATGCCAACACAACCAAAGATGCATAGCGTGTTCTTGCACCGAGGGCGCCAGGCACTGTGCATGTTTGGTTTAGGCCTGGGAGGCGCAGAGCAGGGTGCTTGGAGGGAGGCCCGTGCGAGCATTGGGGCCTGGAAAACCAAAACCAACAAGAATTTAGTGTTTCCTTGCATCTAGGAACGGGTGCCGCTGAATTGCGGAATCTCTTCTGCAATGGTGGTGTTCCCGAAGGCAGCCAAAAAGGGATGCAAGGGATGCCTCCATCCCCGACCGTTCTTCCTCCTCATCCTCCTCGTCCTCGTCCTCGCTCCTCCTCGTCTTCCTCGTCCCTTCTCAGGAGGAGTGTTGTGAGGAGAAGGCAGGTCATGGCAAAGCGACTGAAGCTAAGTATGAAACCCACTGCAGGACGTGGAGAACGAGGAGGACGTGGAGGAGAGGGAGGCGGAGGTGGAGGAAGACGAAAAACGTACGCTTGTTCCCTGCCCCAAGCGCTGGAGGATGAGGACGATGAGGGAGATGAGAAGGATAAGGATAAGGAGATCAGGATGAGGAGAGGAGGAATGTGAGGACGATGATGCAGATAATGATGTGGTGAGGAGGAAAATGAGGTGGATGAGGAATTTGATGAGGATGAGGATGAGGAGGGTGAGGATGAGAAGGATGAGGCAGATGAGGAGGACGAGAGATGGGAGGAGGATGCCCCTCCCCCAGTCCGTCGTTTAGGGGTGCTCCGGGTGGCACACTTATATATGAGATCTATGTATATGTACACATGTTTGCATCTCTCTATGTATATACATATACATACCTCATACATACATACATACATACATACATACATACATACATACATGCATGCATGCATGCATGCATGCATGCATGCATGCATGCGTACATACATACATACACACACATACATGCACATACACATACATAGATACATACATGCATGCATGCCTGCATGCATGCATGCATGCATACATACATATATACATGCATACATGCATACGCGCATGAATGCATGCATGCATTGCATTCATGCATGCATACACACATCCATACTGAAAAATAGTCAGTTGCATGCTAAGGAATGTGATGTGTCAGGCCAGGTTTCGTCGCGTTGCTGTCTCGTTGCCGCCTCGTGCGCTGGGTAAGTCTGGCGAGATTTCTCCATGTGTCCAGCCGAAGCCGCCTCGTTGCCGCCTTGTGACCGCCTCGTTGCCGCCTCGTGCGCTGGGTGGGTCCGGCGAGGATTCGCCACGTTGCCGCCTCGTTGCCGCCTCTGGCTTGCGCCGAGTACATTGTAAAACGTAGCTTACACCACATGGTTTACGCCACATAGCTTACACACTCCTGGTATTATAACTTACTGTGTGAGGCCGAGAATGAGAAACAACCTCCGTCTCGGTTTCTGTTCGAGACGCCAGATGTCTGGGAGCATCGTCGTCGTCGCCGCCGTCGCCGACGTCGCCGCCGTGGCCTCCGGCCAGCCGAGACGCATCGTACCCGGCGACGAACCTGGGCCTCGTGCCACGTCGTCGTCGTCGTCGTCGTCGCCGCCGCCGCCGCCGCCGTCGCTGTCTCCGTCGTCGCCGCCGCCGCCGCCGCCCCTCGATCCCCCTCCCTCCTCGTTCCTCCCCCTCGTTCCTACCCCTCCTCCTCCTCCTCCTCCTCCTCCTCCTCCTCCTCCTCCTCCTCCTCCTCCTCCTCAGTCGTTTCGGGATCGAGGGTTTCTCTGGCATTGCAGAGATTTGTTTCGAAACGCCAGCAGTCCCTGCGAGCCATGTGAGTTCGGTGGTGCTGATGAGTGGCGAGTTCACCAGGGGTGCGAAGCTGAAGTCCGACGGCGCCCTGTTCGTGGTGAGGTCGATGCTGATGTCGTCAGCTGGCGCTCTGAGGTGTTTGCCGCGCAGGATTCGCACGCGATCGTGGACCTGGATGCGATTGAGGCCCCGGTGGTGATCAACGGTTTCGAAGTGCTCCAGGACTTGGAGGTGAGTGCCGTCATCATCGACTACCTGGAGGTGAACGGCGTGATCTGCGAGTGCCTGAAGGTGACCGACATGTTTTGCGAGTGCATGGGGGTGACCGTCCCGACCTTCGTGTGCCTGGAGGTGCTCGTCGGCATCTACGAGTGCATGGAGGTACCCATCGACATGGTCGAGTGCGAGAAGGTGATGGACGTGATCCTAGGCCTGGAGGCCACAGTGGGCCTGGAAGGGGATCCAGGGCCTGGCGGTGGTCAAGGGCCTCGATGCGTCCGTCTGGTTTCCAGGGCCTGGAGGTGACCATCGTGATCTTTGCGTGCCTGGAGGTGACCATCAATGTTCTCGCGTGCTCAGAGATGACCGTCGTCTTTGTCGCGTGCCTGGGAATGATCGTGCACATGGTGGACCGCAGCCTGGGCCTCCCCAGCTCCCTAATGAAGTTGGGGGTGGCAGCCGTCGGCTTCGGGTGCGCGGAGGTGCCCTTCGTGATCCTGGGCCTGGGCGCGGTAGGGGGCCTCGGCGCGGGCGAGGGCCTGGTGGCGATCAAGGGCCTGGAGGCGTTCAAGGGCGCTTGAGTGGCCATCGTGTTCTTCGTGCTCCTGGAGGTGGCCGTCGTCCTTTTCGCGAGCCTAGAGTTCGTCAGCTCCGAGTGCCTGGAGGTGACCGTCGTGATCTTCGCGCGCCTGGAGTTGACCGTCGTCTTTGTCGTATGCCTGGAGCCGCCCGTGCCGTAGGTAGGCGCCGTGGGCACTCTGTCATTGCACTGTCAGGCCTCCCTCGTCGTAGGAACGAGTATGAAAGGACGTCCCGCTCGTCTAGGCGGGGTGTGATTTGTTAATGTTCTGCCGCGCAGACGCCTCCGCCTGTCGACGCGTCCAGGCCAGCGTCGTCGCAGCAGCAGTCAGGACTCTCAGCCCCCCCTCAGAACGAGAAGATGGCGGCTTTGCCTGCGAGAGTGCAGGCCCGCGAAGCGGGCTCTTCTGTCTCAACCTAAACGTTGCTGTTCGGGCCAGATAGAGTCTAATTGTTTGCCCCTGGCGTGGGCTCTCCGCGCGCAGGCACTTGAGGCTGCAGCCACTGCCGGCTCGTATGTGTTCTCGCGTTGCCTGCTGGGGCAGTACGAGGCATACCGCTCATAGCTCAACGGTGAGCTCGTTGTTGCCTCCATGCATATGCTTTCGATTCCTAAATGCGGAGTGAATCCTGCTTGCTTCCCCAGCGGCTCTCGCGGCAATGTCCTGGTGCCTAACCGTTGGCTGGAAGTGCGCTTGGCCCAACTGTGGGCGTTGGTGAATGGTGGCAGCTGGCAGGGGACGCGAAGCGGCTGGGCGTTGATGCACGGCGTGGCGGCCGTTTGCGCCCACATGCTCGTGTTGCGCTTTTCTCTCGCGGGCGACAGTGCCCAGCGGTCAGTGCGTCTCCTGCTAGGGCTGGCGACGGCATGGCAGGGTCGCGGCCCACGACCGCGGGAATACTCACGGTGTCTCAAGCTAAACGTTGCTGACTGGTTCCGCCTCCTCCTCGGCCTGCAGAGGAAAAAACTCCTCCTCCTCCTCCTCCTCCTCCTCCTCCTCCTCCCCCTCCTCCTCCTCCTCCTCATCCTCCTCCTCATCCTCCTTCTCCTCCTAATCTCTTCGATCTCGCCGCTGTCTCCGAGGCCGCCGGCGAGGCCGCCGGCGAGGCCGCCGTCGAATCCGCCGGCGTTCCGCAGGGCGCCCGCGGCAGCGCCACGGCGTTCCCGTGGCCGGGGGCCCGCGCCTCCGACGCGAAGGCGGCCAGCCGGCGGAAGCAGGGGCCCTCCTCGCGGGGGCGGCCAAGAGTGATGTCGGGCCTGTGCCTCTACAGGTGGACTTCTCAAAAAGAGGGAAAAAATACTGGGGACGATGGTTTGAGCATTTTGGGCTCTTGTGTGTGTTTTTTTGGCGCGCATTTGATTTGTCGCCCAAAACCCCCCCCCGCATGGGGACAGGCCCGACCTAAGCCAAGAAGGGGGTGAGAACTAGGGGGGGGATCATGGCGTGGGCCAGTATATTTCCTCAGATGTCATGGCGCCTCGTCTTATTTCATCACGTCCCTGCCCCCCCCCCCCAAGCTCGCGCACATGCCGCCGGCCATGAATTGCGCCCCCCCCCTCTTGGACGCCCCCGCTCTTGGCCGCCCCCGATTCTCGGGAAACCAGGAGGGGCCCTGGGCTCCGCGCGGATTTCTTGGATCCGCGCTGAGCCCCCCTGGCGGCGCCTGTGGTGCCGCCGCCCCTGGCGCGCTCCACGCGCCAGGGAGGGGGGTCCAGCGCGGATCCTATAAATCCGCGCGGAGCGGCAAAAGTTTATGTTTATGGTTTTTGTTTTCTCTATTACCTCCAGGGTGCCCTGGGTTTCTTGGGTTTCGACGGTGTTGCTGTGGAAAGCGTGACTCTCCCGCACCAAAAATCTGTGGACGACCTGGGGTCTCAGGGTTTGGGCTTCTTTTGTCTAGGCCTCCTAGATGGGTCCAAGTAGATTGGGTTGGAGGATCGCGCCGCATCGCCGATGCATCGGGGATGCAGCTCGATGTGGAGCCCATGTTTCCCCACGCCGTCGTCGCCGATGCATCGCCGACGTCGCCGATGCATCACCGATCATCGCCGATGCATTGGCGATGCGGCGCGACTCTTCGACCCCATCTTCTTGGACCCCACCTGGGAGGCCTCTACAGAAGCACCCCGTTTGCCTCCAGTGTCCTCTGGGTTTCTTGGGTTTCTGTGGCTCTGCCGTGGAAAGCGCGACGCTCTGAGGAGGAGGAGGAGGAGGAGGAGGAGGAGGAGGAGGAGGAGGCCCTGAGGCGTCAGGGCGGAGCAGGAGGGGGGAAGGGGTAAGGTCCTCAGGGAGAGAGGTGCGAGCGAGGAGGGGTACGAGGGGGAGGGGAGGAAAAACATCGGTGGGGACTCCCTGAGGCCTCGGGGCCGGGCTCCTTCTCGCGGCAGGCCTCGGGCGGTCGAGCTCCTGCTGCACGGCTCCAGGGGGGCCCGGGCGCGCCGTGGTGTGGCAAACCGTGGGCGCCGGGCAGGCCCTCGCCCTTCCGCCCTGGAGCGTTCAGCAGCGTCTGGGAGGCGGCGGGGCAGCGCCGTGCGCAGCGTCGGATCTGCACAGCGTCGACGCGGCGTCGGTGCGCGCCGGTCTGGCGCACGGGTGGGCGTCGGCCCGCGGGCGCCGCCCAGGGGGCCCCCGGAGGCTCCCAGGGGCTGGCACCGAGCAGGCCGCGCACGGGAGGCCTCCTCCCGCCCAGATGGGGGGCCCCCCGCCCCGCCGCCGCAGGCCGAGCAGGGCCGGGCGCGCGGCGGCGCGGCGCCTCCGCGGGCGGCCCGCCCGCCGGGGAGCCCGCCCACGCTGCTGGGGGGAGGCGGCCGTGCCTCGGGGGGAGCGCACCGTCGGACCGCCCTGCCCCGTTCGGCTGCCTCGTCGGCGGCGTTCGCCGGAGTCGGTATGCTCATCATGCTTGTGATCCAGGCCCCCTGGGGCGCTGTGACGAGAGCACGACGGGCGGTGTCTCGCCGTTCTCGGCCTCCGGGGGCCCTTTAATTACCCGGGCGGCCGTGCGCGGGGGGAGCACGAGCCAGAGGTTGCCAGAGGTGCCCCTCCTCCTCCTCCTCCTCCTCCTCCTCCTCCTCCTCCTCCTCCTCCTCCTCCTCCTCCTCCTCCTCCCCGCCTCCTCCTCCTCCTCCTCCCTCCTCCCTCCCTCCTCCCTCCTCCCTCCTCCCCTCCTCCCTCCTCCCTCCTCCCTCCCTCCTTTCCTCCTCTTTCCTCCTCTCCTCCTCCTCCTCCTCTCCTCCTCCTCCTCCTCCTCCTCTCCTCCTCCTCCTCCTCCTCTCCTCCTCCTCCTCCTCCTCCTCCGCCTCCTCCTCCTCCTCCTCCTCCTCCTCCTCCTCCCTCCTCGGCCCAAGGTGCCCCCAGGGTTTCCAGGGAGGCCCCCACGGCCTCCACAGGGCCCCCCCACGAGGTCCAGGGGGCCCCAGGGGTGCCCCAAAGTGGAGCGAAAAGCCGGGGGCACCTGAGGTCCAGGGGCACCCAGGGGTGCCCCAAAGTTCAGGGGGGAAAAAAGCACACAGACACAATCAATCGTCGATCCCCCAGAAAATATGGGAAAATATGGGAAGTGGGAGGGAGGACAAAAACCCAGAAAATGTGGGAAAATATCGGGGAATCCTGTTGTTTGTGTGTGTATTTATTTGTGTGTCCCAGGGTCCCTTCAAAAGAGGAGCGAAAAGCCGGGGGCACCTGAGGGCCAGGGGCACCTTTGCCCCGAACTCGGGAGCCCGCCCACGCTGCTCGGGGGAGGCAGCTGTGCTCGGGGGGAGCGGACGCCTCGAGCTCGCGCCTGCGAGGGGGTACCCAGACCCCCCTCGAGCCACGGAGAAAAAGTTACGATACGGTAGGTTTTTCGCTGCTTGCGGCCTGCGGCGGCCCTTGCTGGGCCTCGGGGCCGTGAGAATCGGGGGTGGACAGAACCCCCACCCTGACACGCCGATTAGTGAATTGCCCGTTTTCGGTTGTCGAGAGGGCGCCGCGGCCGTCAATTTCCAGGCTTGCGCCCGCCAGGTTTGGGCCCGAGGTCGTTTTCACTAAGCCACGTTTTACTGAAGGGGGTTCTGTCCATCCCCGAGAGAAGGATTCAGGACGAAGAGCCGGACCCAGAGACTGGGTCGAGACCTCCTGGGGGTCGACGTCATGAAACAATCATGACGTCGGGGGTCTGGGTAATCCACCTGACGCATGACCACGGTGAAATAAGTCATCATGCAGCACAGCCATCTCACAGAGACTGCCACTGCCAATAGCACATCCGATGAACTCAGGGCAAGCGTCCATACCCGCAGTAAGGCACCAATCCTCTGGAAACGAGCAAGAACACAAGAAGAAGCACCAGCCACTGGGATGTCGAACACAACTCCCCTCCAGCCGATTTCTGGGGTACACCGGCGGACCTTGCGACGGGTCTGCACGATCTGAGCGGCTCTGTCTTCTCCTCGACGGCGAGCGAGGGGGGGACGCGAGAAGGGGCGGGCATGCTCAGAAGACTCGGACAGAGAAGCTTCCCGGAAGCTTTCCCCGGGACAGAGAAAAATGCTCAGAGGGCGTAAGGGCTTCTGAGAATCAGGAGGGGGAAAAACACAGACACAATGAATCGTCGACTCCCAGGAAAATATAGGAAAATATGGGAAGTGGGGGGGAAGACGAAAATCCAAACAATATGGAAAATATAGGGGATCCTGTCATTCGTGTGTATTTATTTGTGTGTGTGTCTCTGTGTCTCTGTGTGTCTCTGTGTGTCTCTGTGTGTCTCTGTGTGTCTCTGTGTGTCTCTGTGTGTGTCTCTGTGTGTGTCTCTGTGTGTGTCTCTGTGTGTGTCTCTGTGTGTGTGTCTCTGTGTGTGTGTCTCTCTGTGTGTGTGTGTCTCTGTGTGTGTGTCTCTGTGTGTGTGTGTCTGTGTGTGTGTCTGTGTGTGTGTCTGTGTGTGTGTGTCTGTGTGTGTGTCTGTGTGTGTGTCTGTGTGTTTGTGTCTGTGTGTGTGTCTGTGTGTGTGTGTGTCTGTGTGTGTGTCTGTGTGTGTGTCTGTGTGTGTCTGTCTGTGTGTGTCTGTGTGTGTGTGTCTGTGTGTGTGTGTCTGTGTGTGTGTCTGTGTGTGTGTCTGTGTGTGTGTCTGTGTGTGTCTGTGTGTGTGTGTGTGTCTGTGTGTGTCTGTGTGTGTGTCTCTGTGTGTGTGTGTCTGTGTGTGTGTGTCTGTGTGTGTGTGTCTGTGTGTGTGTCTGTGTGTGTCTGTGTGTGTGTCTGTGTGTGTGTCTGTGTGTGTGTCTGTGTGTCTGTGTGTCTGTGTCTGTGTGTCTGTGTGTCTGTGTCTGTGTCTGTGTCTGTGTCTGTGTCTGTGTGTCTGTGTCTGTGTGTGTGTCCCAAGGTCCCTTCAGAGAAGTCTCGCCGCCTTCTGAGATGGCCGTTTCTTTCCCACTTCCCCGCCTCAGTCGCCGCCGATCCCCCCCCCTCTTCTCTCCCTACGTCCCGCCTTACCCCTAAATCGGGCCGGTCCCTCTACAGGGGGAATATTCGAAAATAGTCCAAAGATAGTCTGGGAACTATTTTTCAAAAATATTTGCGTATCTTTTATTTTTCGTCCAAAATAAAATCCCCCTGTAGGAGGACAGGCCCGACCTAACCTTACCCCAATTCGCTTCCGGCGCGTCCAGCCCGCAGCCCGACCGGCGCTGGCACTTGCTTCGGCTCGCTTGCGCCCGCCGGCTGGCAACAATTTCGCCCAACCGCGGGTTTGCCGACGCTTCTTGGCGGGCCCGTCCAGGGCTTGGGCGGTCCATTTTCTTTGGGGAGGACTGCAGCGGGAGCTCGCGCCAAGTTTCTTTCAGAGTGGGCCTCATCATTTGAGCGAATGGCTTCGTTAATTCGGCCAGCTCGAGTCTTACGTCGTCTCCCCGATCGTCGTCGTGGACAAAAGGAGATCAGCCTCGAAGGCCTAGAGGTTAGCACCAACACCAACGTCGGCAGTGTGCCTCCACCGATGGGCGGCCGAAAAATTACCACCGACGCCGAAATCCAGGATCTTCTTCTCTTGGTGGAGGCAACATCCTGTCTCGGTGTCTGTGCCAGGCCTCCAACACCGGTGTATTCCAACGTCGGCAGTGCACCTCCGCCGAAGGGCGGCCGAAAAAGTACCACCGACACCGAAGGGGGATCTGCCGAGGCGGGGCCGCCTCGGCCCCCAGTCGCCCATGCCTCGCCGATGCACGGGCCTGGCAGCCCGACGGCGGCCCAGGAGCGTGCGGCTTCGCTATAGATCGGGGGCCTCTCGCCGAGCCCTCGGCGCCGCGTCGCCGACACGGGCACGACGGCCCTTTCCCTGGGCCAGCCACTCCCTGAGCCAGCCCTCCTCCTCCTCTTCTTCCTCCTCCTCCTTCTCCTCCCCCTCCTCCTCCTCCTCCTCCTCCTCCCTCCTCCTCCTCCTCCTCCTCCTCCTCCTCCTCCTCCTCCGCCTCCGCCGCCTCCTCCTACTCCTCCTCCTCCTGCTCCTCCTCCTCGCCCTCCTCCTCCTCCTCCTCCTCCTCCTCCTCCTCCTCCTCCTCCTCCTCCTCCTCCTCCTCCGGCGCCGTCATCTGATCGATGCTGGTGCTTTTTGCCTGGATCTGGGCCCCCCGTGTCCGTCACTGGGCCCTGGGGGGCCATCCTTACGAGTGGACCTTCGGCGAGAAAAGTCGGCGAAGCGATCGGGACCTTCTGGTGCCGCGCACGGCAAGAGTCGCGTCCGCAGAGATCCAGCGCATGCCAAAATCAAGACGGAGGTTTTTTGGCCGACTTCGGCCTCTATGGAGGCCATCGCCGGGTCCCGGGGCTGTCAGAGAACGACTCGGGATGAAAACCCAGTCCTGGGGAACGGGTCGAGACTTCCGGGGACCGCTCGACCAGGCGCCTTTCGCCGGAGTGACCTTTGGTGCGGGCCCAATGGTGTCCCCCGATCGCCAAACGCGGAGCGGTAGCAGCGGCTTGCGCGCCTGGGTTTGGTCCCCCCGCGTCCGCGCACCGAAGGTCACGCTTGCCTACGGTCACTCTTGCGTGCAGCCGAACCGCGCATTGGCAAAACTCACGACGAGCGGCCCGTCGCCGGGGGGGCCTCTCGCGTGCAGCCCTCGGGCGGCCTGGCGCCCCCGAGCGGTCGAGCCCGCACGAGCGGCGCAGAGGAGCGGGCTCGACTGTGCCGGCGTCGGCGCGCGAGCTGCCCGCGCGAGGTCGCCCGTGCAGCGGAGACCCATGCCAAGAAGCACTTGGATGCCCTCCTGTCTAATGATCCTCCTCCTCCTACTCCTCCTCCTCCTCCTCCTCCTCCTCCTCCTCCTCCTCCTCCTCCTCCTCCTCCTCCTGCTCCTCCTGCTCCTCCTCCTCCTTCCTCCTCCTCCTCCTCCTCCTCCTCCTCCTCCTCCTCCTCCTCCTCCTCCTCCTCCTCCTCCTCCTCCTCCTCCTCTTCCTTCTCGTTCATATTTGCCCCGACGCGAGCGGCACAGAATCACGTGACAGAGTGCGCCGACATTCGCGCGCAAACTTCCCGCATGCCCACCGCTTGCCTCCAGGATGCCCTGGGTTTCGTGGGATTCGACGGCTCTGCGATGGAAGGCGCGACGCTCCCACACCAAGCATGCATGGACGTCCTGGGGTCTCAGGGTTGGGCTTCTTGTGGAAGGTTTCTGATGGACTGGCCTCCACCGTAGGCCTGTGGGCGCCCTCGTTGGGGGAACGAACACTTGGCATAAACATGACAACTCGGAGGTCCGCGCGGATTTCTCGGATCGGCGCTGGACCCCCCTGGCGGCGCCTCCGGCGCCGCCCCTGGCGCGCTCCGCGCGCCAGGGAGGGGGTCCAGCGCCGATCCGAGAAATCCGCGCGGACCTCCGAGCTGTCATGTTTATGCCAAGTGTTCGTTTCCCTACTCGTCTCCGGTGTGGCGTGCCGCGCTGGCGGCCCGCGTGAGCCACAGCGTGGGGTCGCAGTGCCTCCTCGCGTCAGACCCGTTTCTCTTCGTCGCCCACGCGGCAGCGAAGTGCCCGAGAGCGCTGTGATCCGATGCGGCATGACGCTTTTGCACAACGCTCTCGCGCACCGCCGGCGCCCTGCCCGTGGCCGAGGCTCGCAACCGCTGGTAAGGCCCTCTCGTTCCTCAGTCCGCGCTCCTTCAGTTCGCGGCGCGCAGAGTGGGGAATTGGGGGAGGGGGGAAGGCTTCGTCGAAGGAGGCTGCTGTAATGCGGGGCGCCGGCCCCACATCTGCAGACAAGGCCCGCGCCTTCTAAGAAGCAGGGGCGCTGCTCAGAAGTCTTCCCCCCTCCGACGGCCCCCGTCTGCGCGCCGCCAGCTATAGTACAGTAGGGGTCTTGAGAAGGAACCCTTTTCGTTGGGGAGGGGCTCCGCGTTCCTTACGTGTTTCGCAGCTTGTCTTGGGTTTTCCTTAGGTTTTCGATATGAGATCGAAGTTTAACGTATGGAAAAAAAGGGGCCTCGTTCCTTATTTAGGGTTCCTTAGGTCAAGGCCCCGACTGTAGCACGATGGCCGAGCTGTCGGCATCGCACGCAGCTGTCGGCAGGGAGGCGCCTCGGGAGGCTACTCCGAGCGGAGGGGGGGCCGCCCCCTGCCTGCGCGTGGCCGCGAGGCACCTCCGACGAGACGCCGAGCCCCTGCTCCTACGGCGGCGCCTCCCCCGGGAGCCCCGGGTACGCGGCCAAGCACGGGGTCAGGAGCCGACGACTGGTGCGATCGAAACGGGCACGGATCGGCGATTGCAAACGGGTGAGGAGGAGGAGGAGGGAGGAGGGGGGGAGGAGGAGGAGGAGGAGGAGGAGGAGGAGGAGGAGGAGGAGGAGGAGGAGGAGGAGGGAGAGGAGGAGGAGGAGGAGGAGGAGGAGGGGAGGGGAGGAGGAGGGAGGAGGTGGAGGGGAAGGAACAGGAGCGGGAGCAGGAGCAGGAGGAGGAGGTGCCCGATGCATCACGCGATCGTTTTCTTCGTCCTTGTTTTGCCGATCGGCGCGGGCCCTCGCCCCCCCCCCCTCCCCATCCCCCCCATGGAGTAGATCTTGGCTGTTTTGGGCGCCTACTCCGAGCAGGTGGAGTCTAGCCTCGCCCCGCAGGACGCACAGCTGCAAAGACAGTCGCACCAAGCAGAGGTCCAGAGCGGGACCCCCCCCTCCCCCTCCCCCCCGCCGTTCCGCCCAATGTCGAAACGCCGAAGAAGGAAACACTCACCATCCAGACCCACCAGTTCTCAGAGATTCCCGACGTGTCTACATCCGAACGCGTATTCACGCTGCTGTCGTCTCAGCGGGGTCCGCGCGGGTCCCCAGGAATTCGGCGAGGTCCTCCCAAAGTTTCTGTATGTGCCGCTCTTGACGTTCTCTGAGGAGCCCAGCATGGGCCGCCGAGCCTGTCCAGCGAGTCGATCTGAGCCAACTCAAGAAGATCATGCGGTCCACCCGCCGGTCGAAGCAGGACCGCGAGAGGTTCCTCGCCGGGGGCCCCCCGCAGACCATGGAGTTCCACCTCTACAGGCACCTCGGGGCACACCGAGGCGACCTGGTGAGAGGCGTGCTCGCAGCCATCAAGGAGCACGCGGGCCACGACGTGGAGGTGAACGTGTTCGGGCGGGTGCTGCAGAACAGGCTGCCCGAGCAGCTGCTGGTCGAGATCGACGAGGTCGAGAGGCATGCCGCGGAGCGGCTCGAGGTGCTCCTGCCGCGGCGCCCAGACGAGGCCGACGAGGTCTCCAGCGGCAGGGGCTCCCCCAGCCGTGACGTGCCTCTCGGATCGTGGCTTGATGTCGCGCGGGGGATGTACCGGGAGCAGGACTCGGCGGGGCGGCCCGGGGGGGGGCAAGTGAGGAGGGGCGGGCCTTGCCAGAAGGCTCGGAAGCCCCCCCCCCGGCCTTCCGAGGAGAGTTCCAGAAGCCTCCCCCGAAGACCCAGGAGAAGCTTCTCGGAGGGCGCGAGGGGGCTGCCGAGGAGTCCCGCCGGCTTCTGAGCAGGCCTTCTCCTGCTCCCTCCCCCCCCCTCGCTCGCCGCCGAAGGACTTCGAGCTGGCCGCGGAAACGCTGGGCCGGGCGGCCCAGGAGGGCGGGGAGCGCCTCGTGCCGTTTGCTCAGGGCGTCCGCGCGCTGCAGGCCGTGTGGTCCCACCGCCGCGAGCGCGAGCTGGAGCGCTTCGTGGCCATGTTCCACGAGGCCGACGAGGACCAGGACGGCATCCTCGGCGGCGGCGAGGCCTGGGCGCTGGCGGCGAGGATGGCGAGCGCGCCGCGGAGGCTGGCCGCGGGTGCGTCGGCGGCCGGGGTCTATGCGAAGCTGGAGGCCAGCCACCGAGAGCTGCTGCCAGTCCTGAGCGCTCGACCCCCGGCCACGCTCAGCCAGTGCGTCGAGGTGTTCAAGGACCTGATCGACCTTCACTGCCGCCTGCACGACATGGAGGCGGTCGAGGTGAGCGCAGCAGCGTCCAAGACGCGGGCCGTGCGCCTCGGCGAGCAGACACGACAGCCGGCCGCTGCGGGAAAGGCTCCGCAGCGAAGCAGCGAGGAGATTGCAGCAGCCACCAAGATCCAGGCCGTGCACCGCGGCAAGCAGGCACGCAAGACGGTGGCTGCGGACCGAGCTGCGGAGGGCGGCCAGTCCACGCCATCCTCGCTCATGTCGCCCCAGGGGGATGGCGCCGCGGCCGAGGAGGGCGGCCAGTCCACGCCATCCTCGCTCATGTCGCCCCGGGAGGAGGGCGGCGCCGCTGGGGGGCAGGCTCCGCAGCGAACCAGCGAGGAGATTGCAGCAGCGACCAAGATCCAGGCCGTGCACCGAGGCAAGCAGGCGCGCAAGGCGGCGGCTGCGGACCGAGCTGCAGAGGCGGCCGAGGAGGCCGGCCAGTCCACGCCATCCTCGCTCATGGAGAAGGAGGAGGAGGAGGAGGAGGAGGAGGAGGAGGAGGCGGAAGAGGAGGGCGCCGCCGCTGGGGGGAAGGCTCCGCAGCGAACCAGCGAGGAGATTGCAGCAGCTACCAAGATCCAGGCCGTGCACCGCGGCAAGCAGGCGCGCAAGACGGCGGCTGGGGGCCAGGCCTAGCGCTGGGCTGCGAGCCTCTGGGGCATCGGTGGCTGCGGGCGATGTGCCGAGCCCTGGGGGGTGGGCGGGGCCAGCCCACGAGGACCTTCCGCAGGGGGTCGCGATCGGCTACGCATAAGAGCGACCCTTGGCCCGAGTGACCTCTGGTCGGGCCCACGCGGGTCACCCCAGCACTGGCACGCGAGCTTGGATCTGGCCCGGCCGCGCCCCCCCGAAGTCGCGCACCAGAGGTCTCCTCCTCCTCATCCTCCTCCTCCTCCTCCACCTCCTCCTCCTCCTCCTCCTTCTCCTTCTCCTCCTCCTCCTCCTCCTCCTCCTCCTCCTCCTCCTCCTCGTGCATCCTCCTCCTCCTGCCTCCTCCTCCTCCTCGTAGCCGGGGCGAGGAGAGCGCGGCAGCAGCCAGGGCCCTGGCCGCGCACGGCGGCAGGCGGGCGCGCAGGCCAGGGGGGGGAGGCGGCGGGCGCCTCGCCGCGCGGCGCGGCTCCAGGGCGGGCCCCCCTCGGGCCCAGGCGCCTGGCGCTGGCGCCTGGCTGGATGAGGTGGCGGTCGAAGGAAAAGCTGCGGCGGCGGGACGAGCTGTCGGAGGGCTGCGCAGATCTCTCGGATCTGCTCTGGGCCCCTCTCCCTGGCGCGCAGGGCGCGCCGGGGTCGGCGCCGGAGGCGCCGCCAGGGGGGTGCAGCGCCGGTCCGAGAAGTCCGCGCGGAGCTCCGAAAGTCTGAGTTGAGCCGTGCTTCCTTCCTCGGGCGAGGGCATGGCGCGTGGCCATGCCTCGGCATCGCTTGGACGTGTGCGTTTTTTTTCGACGGGGGCCATCGAGGGATCACCTAGCCAACAAACAAGAAGCGCACGACATCGAAAAATGCACAGGGAATGGACGTCCGAGCGATGGCGAGATGCTAGCGGCCACAGGCTCTGCTGGGGCCGTGCGGCGGCCTTGCAGCCTCCCGCTCTCGCGAAGGCCGCGGCTGGCCCCCCGCCGACCAAGCTGGGTCGGCCGCCCCCGCGGTCCCATCGCACCTCAGGGGTATGCCTGCAGTATGGCCTTGAGGTACTGTGAGACCGCGGTGCAGAGCGGAGACCCCATGGGGCACAGCGTGACTCGAGCTGTCGCGCGGCGCCAGGTGCGCCAAAAGGCTCTGCGCCTGCCGGGAGCCCTGCGGGAGACGACGGTCCTCTGCCTCGCCTCCTCCTCCTCCTCTTTCTCCTCCTCCTCCTCCTCCTCCTCCTGCTCCTCCTCCTCCTCCTCCTGCTTCGAGTTTTTGGCATTAGCTTCAAGACGGGCCATGAGACCATAGGCCTTGCTGGAGAATCCTTGCCACGCTCCCGAGGTCTCTGAAACGGTCTCGTGAGCCGCCCCGAGAGCGGCTGGTAGCGACCAGGACTCAGGGGCATGGGTCCCTTAAGGAGCAATTAATACAGAACGCAGAGCACCATATCACGTTCAGGTTCCTGATCCAATTCTACGTTGCCCTCCGTGCGCAGACATTTTCAACCCAGAGCGGGGCGATTTATTTCTCCGCGCCCCAGCCGCACTCGTGATCTTGCCCATCTCCCCTCCTGGTCACCTTCCTTGTCCCCGCCCCCCCTCATGCCTCCTCTGTCCTTCCGTTGCGGGTTCGGCGTGGCCATTTGGGCCACCTGGGGGGTGTGTGCATCTGCACTTCTCCCGTCCTCCGACGCCGCGAGTACGCGCAACAGCTCACCTACGGCAGGTTGGCTTGAGCGCTGCTGCGTGCTGTCAGCTTGTCTCCTCCGCCTCGTCTTCACCTCCTCCTCCCTTGAGGCTGCCAATGCTCGATTGGAACGGACGATTACACAGTACGAATCCGCGTTGGTGCCGTCGCAGATCACTTCGGTGTTGTTGGTGTTTCCGCCCAGTAGCCTGGACACCCACGTTGAGGACAAGGAGGCCGTATTTGGATGGTTCGCGATCTTTCCCCTCAATGTGTATCCTCCTTCTGCAAATTTGCGCTGGGTGACAGTACACAACGCAGAGAACCCTAAGGGCCCTGAGGGCACTCCAGTCGGTGCCTACGGCCCTGTGGCGGATGTTGATTCGGGTCAGAAGGTCGAGGGAGCTCTGTGGTTTCTCTTCCCGCTCTTTTCTCATTCTCACTCCTCATCCTCCTCTCCCAATCAAGTCTCCCCTCCAAGGCAGGAGGAGGAGAGAAGGCAAACATGGAGCAGGATGGGGATGCGGGAGGGAGAAGGAAGGAAATGAGGAGAGAAAGGAGGAGGAGGAGTTCGAGGATGGAGCGGATGTACCTCGACGAGTTCGAGGCGGCTCTAGGTGATCATCCTCCCACTTTCTCCCCCCGTCTCCCATCAAATTACCTCCTCCTCCTCCTCCTCCTGCTCCTCCTCCTCCTCCTCCTGCTCCTCCTCATCTTGCTCTTACTCATTTGTCCTCTCGTGCCCATCATAAATTGAATCAGTACCACTGCTAACCTCCTCTATCATATCATCCCTCCTTCCTCCGTCTACACGAGTTTCTCCACCTCATCATCATCATCATCATCATCATCATCATCACCATCATCATCATCATCATCATCATCATCATCATCATCATCATCATCATCATCATCATCATCATCATCATCATCATCTCCGACCCCTTCCTGCTTCTTCACGTCATCCTCCGCAGCCGCCGCATCCTGCACCGCCTCTGCCTCGTCCTCCTCCCCTCCCCCCTTCCCTCCTCTCCTCCTCCTCCTCTCCTCCTCCTCCTCCTCCTCTCCTCCTCCCTCCCCCCTCCTCGTCCTCCTCCTCCTCCTCCTCCTCCTGCTCCTCCCCTCATCCTCCTCCGTCTCCTCCTTTCCTCCTCCTCCTCCTCCGCCTCCTCCTCCTCTTCCTTCTCCTCCTCCTCCTCCTCCTCCAACTCCTCCTCCTCCTCCTCCTCCTCCGCCTCCTCCTCCTCCTCCTCCTCCTCCTCCTCCTCCTCCTCCTCCTCCTCCTCCTCCTCCTCCTCCTCCTCCTCCCCACCGCAGGCGTTCTGGCCGAGGCTGACGGGCGGGCCAAAGACGCGCCGGGGCTCGAGCCACCGCGCGCGCGCCCTGGCCGGGCGGGCACATGCGGTGGGCCCGGCCGGAGGCTGTGCTGCTGCTGGCCGTGGCCGCCTGCACGCTCGCACCCGCCGCCGGAGCAGGCGGCGAGGAGGCGGCCGAGGGGGGGAGGGCTCGGGCCGGGCGAAAGGGGGGGATTGGGAAAGGGGGGGTTACGGAATTTGCTGCATGCAGCTGGTTTCGGCTTCACCGAGGGGCCCATTCCTCGATACATGGGCGCCTCTGGCGCCGGGAGGCGCCGGGAAAATCAGCCACGTGAGCTGATTCTCAAACCCCCCCTTTGCTATCCCCCCCTTTCGCCCGACCCGAAGGGCGGGAGTCGGCTACACGCAAGGGTGGCCCCTCGGCGGAGCAAGGCTCGAGGTTTGCGGACGCTCTCGTCGGTCCTCGGCGGTCTGCCAGCCTCGGGGTGCGTTCCAGCAGCGGCGCCTCTCCGAGGGCGCTCCCCAGGGGTGCCCAGAGCATCCGGAGGGGTCGCTGGGGGCCCGAGCTGGGACCTCTGCTAGAGTGGCCTCTGGTGCGTGTCGTTCGGGGGGGCACGCGGAGTGGGGGGGGGCAGGTGCGCAAGGTGCCACTGTCGCACCACATGCCACGATCGGCGGGCCGCATTCCAAAGTTCGCGCTTGCCTGGGATCACTCTCTTGGCGCGTGGCCGAGAGCGGGGAAGCAGCAACGAGTGGGCGCGAACGCGCAGCGTGACTGTTCCTCTCTCCCTACCGTTCTCTCCCGCCGCTGCTCCTGCATGCTTCATCGCACTGGTGCGCCTGTCACTGCAGCAGCGCTTGGCATGAAAACGTGACCGCGTGGGTGAGCCAGCGCTCTGCCGGACGAAAAGGCGTGCCTGCTCTGACCTCCTCTGCAATTTCCTCGGGACTGCCACTGTACATTGGCTTCGGGGGACGTCGACCTCCGAATCGCACACTCCATCGCCGATCGGGGCTCGTGTGACGCACTCTGCCCACTCTGCCCAGGAGGAGCGCAGAGTGCCGCACCTGGGGGCCCATCGGCGATGTTCGTGAGCGAAAGCGTATCCGCATCTGCGGCCCCCCGGGCCGCGACCCCGCGGATGCCCCGCGTGGAACCTATCCGTGCGGCTGCGTCGTATCCGCGGGATCGCACCCCGGAGTCCAGACCGCGAAGGCGCGGATATGGATACGCTGGCCGCTCGTGAGATGTATCGCCGACTCGAGGTCGATGCTTCCCCCCCCCCCCTGGGCCAGCACTCCCCCGTCGCCCCCCCTCAGCCCCTCAGGCGAAATGGTGGTGCGACGAAGGGAGCGACGGCAGCGAGGAGTGCCACCTTCATGAGTACTCCTTCGTGGAAACCTGCATCCTTATCGTGCTGGTCTGCATGGCCCTGCTCTTCGAAGCCGTGCACCACTTCTTCAAGGAGCGCGTGAGCACGAGCTACCACTACGGGCAGCTGCAGACGGGGACGGGGCGCAGACACTTCAACGGCATCCACACATCGGCAGGCGCAGGCCATGTTCCCGGCAGCTCCCGTCACCTCCACGTGGAGTACACTACACCCCTCTGGAAGCATTGGTTCTCGCGCTTGTGTGCGGAGATCATGGTGCTGGGCTACATCGCTTTCCTCATATTCATCTCCCGAGAGGCTGGATTATTCGATGCACTTATCACCGCATTCCCTTCGGAGGCCTCCGCAATTCACGTGCCTCCGACCTCCGCCGACTGGCTGCACATGGTGGAGTTAGTACACATGAAACTGTTCCTTGGCATGCTGATCTATTTCATGCTTGTCTCCCAGATTGTGAGTGGCAGCGTGAAGACCATCCGTGCCTGGGAAGAGATGCGCATACTCCGCGTGGCCGGCGCCGCCAGGTCCACGCTGGCGATGCGCAACGAGAGCAGGCTCCGGGGTTTTGAGAACACCGCGGTCAAAAAGTATGGCCGGTGGCGGACGTACTTCATCACGGACGTGCTGACGTGGAGGCGGAAGCGCCCGTCTTTGCACACGGAGGTGCTGCGGGCCCTCGCTCTCGACTCGCTGCCGAGGGTGCCCGTGGGCAGGCTGCACGAGGCCCTGGAAGACAACTTCGCCTTCAGCGCCTACCTTGCCTACTCGGTCTGCTCCTGCACCACGGACACGGTGGAGATCCACTCCTTCACCTGGTTTGCCGTCATCCTCGTCCTGCTGACGTTTGCCGCCCTGCACCGGCTCGCGAGCGTCGTCCTGCTGGACGTGGTGCCCATGTTCATCGTGGCTGCCTTCCTGGTTCTGGGGGCCCTCTGGCTCCTGGTGCGCTCGTTCCAGGTCCGAGTCGACGCCTCGGGGCGGCTGGCGATGAGCCTCTCCCGCAGGAACCTGGCCGACGAGGCCGCTCGAGGCTCCTGGGCGCTCCGGGCGAGGAGCGCTGCGGATGGCATCGCGGAGCGCAGCGGCGCCCAGGGCACGGCGGACGACGGGGCGGCGCAGGCTATGCACGAGGACTCCGCGGAGCCGACCTCGCCCGCCCTGGAGCTCAAAGGAGAAACACGCTATAGGCATAAACTTGTGGCGCTCCGCGCGGATGTCTTGGATCCGCGCTGGGCCCCCCCCTGGCGGCGCCTCCGGCGCCGCCCCTGGCGCGCTCCGCGCGCCAGGGAAAGGGGTCCAGCGCAGATCCAAGAAACCTGCGCGCAGCGCCAAAGCTTGTGTTCGTGGCGCTCTTTCCCTCTTCTGGAGGACTCCGCGGCGCCGACCTCGCCCGCCAGGGAGTGCTGGCCCGAGGATCTGGCGTCCGCCTCCTCCGCAAGCCCGCGTGCCGCGAGCCCAGGCGACGAGGCAGAGGGTCCGGGGCAGCGTCAGGGGGGCGGCAGGCGCGCGGGGGGGGGGGGGCGCCTCGACCCCGCATCGCCCCTGCTCACCGCCGGCAGTGGCCAGGTGGCCCACGCCGCCCGGGAGCGTGCGGAGTCGCTGTCGGGGGGGGGGCCTGTCGCCGATCTGCAGCGGCGATGCATCGCCGAGTCCAGGTGGATGGTTGCCCCCCCCCCGAGCTGGGCCCTCCCTACAGCGTTGCCCCCTCGGAGGGCCTCCACGAGAAGTTCCCCACCGAGGTCTACACCCTGCGCCTCCTGCAGGTGATCCTGTTCGTGTGCGCATACGCCTGCGCCCGGACGCTCGGCGACCCGGCCGACTGGAAGTCGCGTCCCGACCGGGTCGTCGTAGTTTGCTGCGTCTTCGGCATCGTGTTCCTCTTGTTGGGCAGCATGCTGCCAGGGCTGGTGCCCACTTTCGCAGCGCTCATGGCCATGCCGCCCTACGTCGATAGGCAGAACGCGGGCCTCTTTCTGGCAGTGCTGGCCGAGCACGGAAGACCTGTCCATGACCTGGCCAGCCGGAAGGGCGGCCGGGTACCCGCCGGCGGCCCGATGTTGCAGCACCAGGGCACGGGAGGAGGCTCGATGGTGCACCACCGCACGTCGGCGAGCCCGGACGCAGTGCCCAGCATGCAGAGCCCCGACCACCAACCGAAGGCTCGCGTCCTGCTGGGCGGCTCCACGTCGATCCCGTGGCTGCTGCCGCACGCGCTCGGAAGCAGCTGCGCGTCCTCGTGCCTCTCCGCCCTGGACCAGGGGCAGCGCGCCGCCGACGCCGCGTGGCAGCACCGAATGGCCAGCCAGGTGGAGGACATCCACAGGCGGCTGCTCGGCGCTGCGGAGGCAGCGACGATGAGGCCGCCCCCGGCCCGCGCGGAGGAGTGGCCCGCGCCGCCCGACGACGCCGACGCTGTCGCGCCTGCGGGCGAGCCCGCGGCCCTCGCGCTGCCGCCGCTCTCTGGCGCCGCGGCGCAGCGGCCGCTGCTCGCGCAGATCGCGGCCCTGCGGCGAGAGCTGCAGCGGCTGGAGGTGCTGGCCGCGGGCGAGGAGCTCCCGGCCAGGCGCCCTCCTCCGGCCCGGGGCGACAGCTCCGAGAACGTCGCCGCGCTGCTGAGGGCCGAGCTCCACGCCAGCAGTGGCGACTAGCGGCGGCAGCGTCGAGGCCGCCCGCGGGTTCGGCGGCGGCCGCGAGCGGCGCCCTCCGCCCTGGGAGCCCTCCAGAGGGCCCTCGGCAGGTCTGAGGCTCGGGGGGCGAGTCCTCTTCCCGGGCGCGCTGCTCCTGCAGGCGGAAGCATGTCCTGCGCCTCGCGGCCCAGACCCCTCGGCGCGGCCCCGCGGGTACAGGGCGGCGCGGCGCGGATGCCCCTCACGGGACGTGCCCATGGGGCCGCGTATCCATGGGATCGCGCCCCGTCGTCCAGACCGCGAGGCCACGGCTGTGGACATGTTCATCGCTCGTAGCCTCCCGCGGATACCCCTCGCGGAGCGCACCCAGGGGATCGCGCATCCATGGGATCGCGCCTCGGTGTCCACGCCGCGAGAGCACGGCGATGGACATGTTCATCGCCCGTGACCGCCTGCTCGCCTGCTCGCCGCCCGCCGTGACCACAGCCGGCGAGCGTCGCGGCACGGCGCCAGCCACAAGCGCCGATGAGCGCCGCTTTTGCCGCGGACTCCTCCCCTGGCATCACCATCACCATCGTCATGGTTCTCATCATCAAAATCCTCCTCCTCCTCCTCCTCCTCCTCCTCCTCCTCCTCCTCCTCCTCCTCCTCCTCCCTCCTCCTCCTCCTCCTCCTCCTCCTCCTCCTCCTCCTCCTCCTCCTCCTCCTCCTCCTCCTCCTAGCCCTCTTTCTCCTCCTCCTCCTCCTCCTCCTCCTCCTCCTCCTCCTGCTCCTCCACGCCTGCTCCTTCATGGATAACTCGTCCTCGTCTGACCATCGGACGCGTCGGTAGGTCGGGCTGGGCGTTTCGCTTGAGACCTTCTCCCCGAGCATGGCCCCGATGTTCGACAGCTTCAACTGACACACTGGTTTTCAAATGGAGCTGTCGCCTTGGCGCCGCGCGCACTCGTCTTGCATATTTCCTACAGGTACACGGATTGAGCACAGGTGGTTTTCAAAATGTGGTTCTCGCCTTGACGCCGCCGGCGACCGTCTTAAAACATCCAGGAGTTACACGGGTAGAAGACGGCTCGTGTTCAAAATAGGCAGGGCTCTCGGTTGCGCCGCGCACGCTCTTAAGAGACTCAAGCATCCTCAGCTACATACACTGACGGGTTGCGGCTATTGTAAAGAATGGGGTGCCTTTGGGGGACACAATCTAAGATCCCGAATTGAGACGTGTGTAAAACAAGGATGGTGGGCGAGTTTGTATCGGTGGTTTCCCGCCCGCGACTTCCTACCTTTCTTTGCGTCAAGAGTTGTAAAGTTGTACAATGTTTACACGGATGGAGGTCTGATCCTTTTCGGAATTGAGTTCTTGTTGTGCACCTCCACGATTTGTTTGACCGTGCCTTCTCTTGCACTACTTCTAGAGGATGGTAGGTAGATCTTTGACCCAACGAAGTATCGCCTGCATGGCAGAATTGGGGTATCGTCTATCGAGGAGAGCGCTCCCCACAATGGAATGCAATGCCTGCGGAGACTTCTGAGGAGGAGAGGGTGTACTGTAGCATCGCTGATACACCTTGGACCTACTCTGGCCATCCTCGTCATAACCCTCCTCCTCGTCCTCCTCCTCCTCCTCCTCCTGTTCCTCCTCGTTGTCCTCCTCGTCATCCCCCTCCTCCTGTTCATTCTGCTTGCCGCCAGCCGCAACCGCCACCCCGCCCCTCCTCGCGCGCCCACCGCCCGAGGCACCAGCGAGCGTCAGCGCGGCGCCGGCCACGAGCGCCGATGAGCGCCCACTCTCGCCTGCGGGCCTCGCTTGGGCCTGGGCTGAGGGGCTCATCCCTTCTCCAGGCCCGTTTTCGTTGTACGGCCGTGATCTGTACAGCTGTTGCGTCCGCATCTCCAGGCCCTGCTCCGTCTCCTCCTCCTTCTCCAGTGCCTCCTCCTCCTCCTCCACCTCCTCCTCCTCCTCCAATGCATCCAATGCCTCCAATGCCTCCTCCTCCTCCTCCTCCGCCTCCTCCTCCTCATGTTCACCCTCATCCTCATCCTTGTCCTCATCAGCATCACCACCACCACCACCATCATCATCATCAGCAGCATCATCATCAGCATCAGCAGCTGCAGCATCAACATCGTCATCATCAACATCATCATCACAATCTTCATCACAATCAGCTTCATCATCATCAGCATCATCATCAGAAGCAGCAGCATCGTCATCATCAACAGTACCATCATCAGAGTAATCAGCATCATCGTCATCATCATCGTCATCAGTGTCGTCGTCATCAGCATCAGCATCAGTTTCAGCATCATCATCAGCATCGCCATCGTCGTCGTCCCAATCGTCGCCGCTGTCGCCATCGTCATCACCATTATCACCATCATCATCAGCAGCAGCATCGTCATCAGCATCATCATCCTCATCAGCATCAGCAGCAACATCCGCATCATCCTAATCAGCAGCAGCAGCATCATCGTCATCCACAACATCTTGCTCCCCATCCTCCGAGACCTCATCCTTCTCCTCATCCTCCAGATTCGCTTAGCCCTCCTTCTCTTCTTCATCCACGTCCTCACCCATCCTCCTCCTCCTCCTCCTCCTCTTCCTCCTCCTCCTCCTCCTCCTCCTCCTCCTCCTCCTCCTCCTCCTCCTCCCCCTCTCCCTCCTCCTCCTCCTCCTCCTCCTCCTCCTCCTCCTCCTCCTCCTCCTCCTCCTCCTCCTCTGTTCCTTCCTCCTCCTCCTCCTCCGTGCACTTATCTTCGTCGCCCTCCACCTCCATCACCCAGGTCCCCCTCGTGTTCCTTCTTCCTCCGCTTCCCTCCTGAATGGGGGGAGTGACGGGTGGAGGACGCAGGAGGGAGAGGAGGAAAGAGGAAGAAAGGCAGGGAAGACGCCTTCCCCCGCAGGAGGAAGGAATTGAGGAGAAAGAATACTGCCATCGTGCTGCCATAAGGAACGTACCATAGGGAACGAGGGGGGCTTTCTGGCTACGTGGGGCCCTAGGCCACCAACAGGTTCCACTACAGAAATCGAAGGAACGGCCCGAAAACCCGAGCCCCTCCTGAGCGCAAAGCGGTCCTTAGTTCAGCGTCTGAAAGGCGGCGGAGGGGGAGGAGGAGGCATTCCTCTGGAAAGAGGAAGGGAGGGGTAGGAGGAGGAGGAGGAGGAGGAGGAGAAGGAGGAGGAAGAAGGTCGGAGGGGGGAAGGGCTTGTAGGTTGTCTGAGGGCGTTCTGGGGCGGTTCCCCGGGGGGGGGGTATTCTTCATCTCAGTCGTCCTCATCATTTTCATTATTTACAGGGAGCATCGCAAAAGCGCAGCAGGACGACGAGACAACGGCAGCGCAATTGTTGACCGTGGCGAGAGCGGGCGGGAGAAGGAGGTCCACCCTTGATCCGTCCTCTCCTCGTCCTCATCCGTATTGTCCGTTCTCGCATCGTTCAGCGTGGGCTCCATCGGAGGCTAAAAAGGCGTCACAGTGGACGTCCAGCCCTTCGAATAAGAGACTGTGTGAATAACGCACACCCGTTTTTTTTCCAGCGTCGGCTTTGTGCTCGCAGCAGGCAGCGAGGATGCCCACTGGGAAAAACTACAGCTCCCCCTTTTGTGTTGCTTGAATTACTCTTACTAGTCTTAATATGGTGATGATATTGCATTCGGTTTAGTATGAATATTAGTAGTGGTATGGTAGTGCATCTTCTTATTCTCATGTATGCTTATTAGTTTTCTTACGATTAGTATGATTGTTGGTAGTATTATGACTGTTATTATTACTAGTATTGGTATTCCTCACATGCTTCATGGGGTTATGGTGTTCTTCCCTGCCGCGTCGCACCCGCGTCTCACCTCACACCTCCCCTCCTCCTCACAGCATTGCTCAGCACAGCTTGGTCTCTCACCGCGGCGTCTATGCGTGCCAGGGTCGGAGAGCGTGGCAGGCGTGGCACGTTCTCGACAGCAGGGGGGGTGCGTAGGGGGTGGTCTCTCACCGCGGCCCCTATGCGCGCCAGGGTCGGAGAGCGTGGCAGGCGTGGCACTTTCTCGACACCAGAGAGGGTGCGCAGGGGGTGGTGTCTCACCGCGGCGTCTATGCGTGCCAGGGTCGGAGAGCGTGGCAGGCGTGGCACTTTCTCGACACCAGGGGGGGTGCGCAGGGGGTGGTCTCTCACCGCGGCCCCTATGCGTGCCAGGGTCGGAGAGCGTGGCAGGCGTGGCACTTTCTCGACACCAGAGGGGGTGCGCAGGGGGTGGTCTCTCACCGCGGCGTCTATGCGTGCCAGGGTCGGAGAGCGTGGCAGGCGTGGCACTTTCTCGACACCAGGGGGGGTGCGCAGGGGGTGGTCTCTCACCGCGGCGTCTATGCGTGCCAGGGTCGGAGAGCGTGGCAGGCGTGGCACTTTCTCGACACCAGAGAGGGTGCGCAGGGGGTGGTCTCTCACCGCGGCGTCTATGCGTGCCAGGGTCGGAGAGCGTGGCAGGCGTGGCACTTTCTCGACACCAGAGGGGGTGCGCAGGGGGTGGTCTCTCACCGCGGCGTCTATGCGTGCCAGGGTCGGAGAGCGTGGCAGGCGTGGCACTTTCTCGACACCAGAGGGGGTGCGTAGGGGGTGGTCTCTCACCGCGGCCCCTATGCGTGCCAGGGTCGGAGAGCGTGGCAGGATGGGCACTTTCTCGACACCAGGGGGGGTGCGCAGGGGGTGGTCTCTCACCGCGGCGTCTATGCGTGCCACGGTCGGAGAGCGTGGCAGGCGTGGCACTTTCTCGACACCAGGGGGGGTGCGCAGGGGGTGGTCTCTCACCGCGGCGTCTGGTGGTCTCTCATCCGCGGCGTCTCGCGGCGTGCCAGGGTGGCAGGCGTGGCACTTTCTCGGCACCAGAGGGGGTGCGCAGGGGTGGTCTCCACTATGCGTCCAGGGTCGGGGCGTGGCAGGCTCGACACCAGGGGGGGTGCGCAGGGGGTGGTCTCTCACCGCGGCGTCTAAGCGTGCCAGGGTCGGAGAGCGTGGCAGGCGTGGCACTTTCTCGACACCAGAGGGGGTGCGCACGGGGGTGGTCTCTCACAGCGGCCCTTATGCGTGCCAGGGTCGGAGGGCGTGGCAGGCGTGACACTTTCTCGACACCAGAGGGGGTGCGCAAGGGGTGGTCTCTCACCGCGGCGTCTATGCGTGCTAGGGTCGGAGAGCGTGGCAGGCGTGGCACTCTCACCGCGGCGCCTATGCGTGCCAGGGTCGGAGAGCGTGGCAGGCGTGGCACTTTCTCGACACCAGGGGGGGTGCGCAGGGGGTGGTCTCTCACCGCGGCGTCTATGCGTGCCGGGGCCGGAGAGCGTGGCAGGCGTGGCACTTTCTCGACACCAGGGGGGGTGCGCAGGGGGTGGTCTCTCACCGCGGCGTCTATGCGTGCCAGGGTCGGAGAGCGTGTCAGGCGTGGCACTTTCTCGACACCAGAGGGGGTGCGCAGGGGGTGGTCTCTCACCGCGGCGTCTATGCGTGCCAGGGTCGGAGAGCGTGGCAGGCGTGGCACTTTCTCGACACCAGGGCGGGTGCGCAGGGGGTGGTCTCTCACCGCGGCGTCTATGCGTGCCAGGGTCGGAGAGCGTGACAGGCGTGGCACTTTCTCGACACCAGGGGGGGTGGGGTGGTCTCTCACCGCGGCCCCTATGCGTGCCAGTGTCGGAGAGCGTGGCAGGCGTGGCATTTTCTCGACAGCAGGGGGGATGCGCAGGGGGTGGTCTCCCTATGCGTGCCAGGGTCGTCCAGGCATTGCAGGCGTGGCATTTTCTCAACACCAGAGGGGGTGCGCAGGGGGTGGTCTCCCTATGCGTGCCAGGGTCGTCCAGGCATAGCCTCTAGTGCGGGATTGCGTATGACCTCTCGCATCCAAGTGCCAGGCGACGCCGGATATGACCGTCACAGATGACTCCTCAACCCCTCCTCTCCCCCCACACGTCCTCCCCCTCCTTTCAACGACCACAGGGGGCACCTGAGAGCATGACGGCGGTGGTAGTGGTAGCGCGGTTCACACAAGACATAAAAACAGTATGTGGGGTTCCTCGGTAGCGTAATTGTATTGTGGACACCGCACGGTGACGAGCTGACCCTTTGGCATGAGCTTTGTTTCTATATCATGAGCCCCAGGCGGTCGTTCATTGCGCCGCTCCGCGGGAGCACGACGCTCGACAGCCTCGATTACTCGCGCAGGTCCACCTTCCTGCTCAAGGAGGAGGAGGCCGACATGATCCAGGACCTTTCCTACCGCCTTGCTGGCTGGCAGGGGTAGCCCGTGTGCCCAAGCCACCGGGCGCTGTCAGACCTCCTGCCTCTGCCCTGCCCCTGTCAACGTCGGCCGCTGCCTGCTTCCGTCCTCGCCCTTGCCGTGGTCTGCGCGTGCTCGTCAGCACCCCGTGTGCTGGTCCCTGTCCCCCGCAGACTGGGGGCCCTTCGGTGCGGACGCATCCTCTTTCCTAGGCCACCCGTTGCACCGCGAAGCTAGTCTTAAGTCGGGCCTGTCCCCTTACAGGGGTATTTTCGACGAAAAATAAAAATACCCCAAAAATAATAAAAAAATAGCCCAAAAATAGTCACGGGATTATTTTTAGAGTACTTGTCTTACCTTTTTGGTGCATTTTTGGGGTATTCTTTATTTTTCGTCGAAAATCCCCCTGTGGGGGCACAGGCCCGACATAACGCTAGTCGCGCCTCGCGCGCCGCGGCCTGGGCCGGAGCGGCTGCCCTTCTCCACGAGAGGGCGGCGCGAGGGCGCGAGGATGCGCGAAGCTGCCCGCGGGTCGCGCAGGGCGGGGCGCGAGGCGTGAGAGCGGGTGGCCCAGCTCCGCGAGGCCCTCCCTCTCCCTCCTCCTCCTCCTCCTCCTCCTCCTCCTCCCATCCTACTCCTCTCCTCCTCATCCTCCTCCCTCTCCTCATACTACCTACTACCTCATCCTACTACTCCTCCTCCCTTTCCTCCCTCCTTCCCCGAATCCTCTCGCCCCTCCTCCTCCTACTACCTCCTCCTACCTCCTCCTCCTCCTCCTCCTCCTCCTTTCCTCCTCCTCCTCCTCCTAGTCCTCCTCCTCCTCCTCCTCCTCCTCCTCGGGGGGGCGGCCTCGGCGCGTGGAATCCTCTTGCTTCCTCGCTCGCGCGCGCGCGCGTCGTCGGAGCGGGCACGCCGGGCACTGCCGCAGCACGCAGGGCGCGTGCCGTGCTGGCCGGGCGGGGGGTGGGCCCCTTGCTCTGCGGCGAGCGAGGGGGGAGGAGCGAGGAGGAGGAGGAGGAGAATCTCTCAGAGGGCGGTGCGACTTCTCAGACGCCCTCGCGAATTCCGAGGAAGACCGACAAAAAACACGTCGCAGAAGGCTGGGGCACTTCCTGCTGAGCAGGGCCGCCCCTTCTCGCTTCCCCACCGGGCTCGCCGCCGGCCTGCAGTTCTGCCTGTCGCTGCGCCCCAAGGGCCGTGGCGGGCCCCCCCTCCCAGCAGCGCGCCGACGGCGAGGGCGTGGCCCCAGCGCGCGGGGTGGCCTTGCATCTCCCCGGCTTGAAGCCCTGAGGAGGCGGAGGAGCGCAGGCGGGGTGGAGGGGGAGGAGGAGGAGGAGGACCAGTAGGCGGCGGCCATCTGGCGCGGGCGCGCTGGCGAGGTCGCGGTCTCGGACATATCCATAGTGTCCGCCTGGCGGTGGGCCCGCACATGGACTTGGAGTACGGGGAGTATGCAAGGGAGGACTCCGCAGGGGGCTGCCCCCTCAGGGATGGGAGAAGAAGAAGAAGGAGGACCAGTGCAAACCCAAGAGTCATCAACGATGCTGGAATCAACCCTCCCACTGAGCTCCCTCGCCGTAGGCCTTGACAACAGCTCATACCCACTGGAAGAACTGCCTCGTTGGAAGACAGCCGCTTAAAGACCCTGAAGCATGGCAGAACATCCTTCTCGGGTTTCCATCGCCACGGATCAACCTGACTGTTTCGTCTTGACGATCCTCAGTCGTGCCAGAAAGGCGTTTATGGGACTTCACCACCGCGACTCAACGTAAGTGTTGCGCCCCCATCATCTGGAATCCTTCCAAAACATCATGTTTGGTACGTTGACCATAGGAATCCGTGAATGTTTGAAAACGAATGTGCGCGGCGCTCTGGCGAGAGCCACAGTTTGAACAGGAACCGCCCTCAATCCGTGAAGCTCTGGCAATTTTTTGAACCGAATGCACGTGGCGCTCAGGCGAGAGCCACATTTTGAAAGCGACCCGTTTTCAATCCGTGAAGTTTTTGCAGATTTTACGAACGAAGGAATGTGCGCGGCGCTACGGCGAGAGCCACATGTTGAAAAGCACCCGCCCTCAATCCGTGAAACTCTTGCACAGTTTCAAAACGAATGTGCGCGGCGCTCAGGCGAGAACCAAAGTTTGAAAACGACCCGCCCTCAATCCATGAAGCTCTTGCACATTTCTAAAGCGAATGCGCGGCGCTAAGGCGAGAGGTCGCCGCCGTAGGGTCCGTAGCCTCGTCGCGGGTGGCTCTTCTCTCCCGGCCCCTGGCCTGGCCTGTCTGCTTGCGGTCGTTGCTTTCCCTCCTCCTTGTACTGATCATCCTCCTCCTCCCCCTCCTCCTCCTCCTCTTCCCATTCCTGCTGCTCCCTGCCTGCTGCCCTCTGTTTGTCCCCCTCCCGCCTGCCCTCGTCCCGCCGGCCCCGGCCCACCGCCTGCGCGCTCGTCGTCGCCTGCCTGCTTCTCCCCTCCTCTCTCACCCCCTCTCCGGGCGGCACGGCCTGCCCGGGGCCGACGCTGCGAAGCCGCGCGGGGCCATCCGTGCCAAGGGGGGCACTCTCCCCCCATAGCCAGAGCGGGAGCAGGCCGCGCATGTGTGTACAGGTTTTTGGCGCCGCTCGGACGTGCGCTGGTCTGTCGAATGTTTCCCACGCCGTTTGTGAAACTGCTGCCAATGTTTTAGTAGCTTCAGGGTCATGAATGGTGGGGAAGTCTCAGGCGAAACACCCGGCCCGCCCTAAAAAATTGGCGGGCTGGGTGCGACAGAAGGAGGAGGAGCAGGAGGAGGAGGAGGAGGAGGAGGAGGAGGAGGAGGAGGAGGAGGAGGGGAGGACGAGAGGAGGAGGAGGAGGCGAAGGAGGAGGAGGAGGAGTGAGGAGCGAGAGAGGAGGAGGAGGGGGAGGAGCGGAGGAGCAGATAAGGAGGTAGGAGGAGGAGGAGGAGGAGGAGACGGAGAAGGAGGAGAGAGGAGGAGGAAGACGCGAGGAGGAGGAGGAGGAGGAGGAGGAGGAGGAGGAGGAGGAAGGAGGAGGAGGAGGGTGGGAGGAGGAGGAGGAGGAGGAGGAGGAGGCGGAGGAGGAAGGAGGAGGAGGAGGAGGAGGAGGAGGAGGAGGCGGAGGAGGAGGAGGAGTAGGAGGAGGCGGGGGAGCTTGCCTTCCGCAACGCAAGACGGAGCGCCAGCTGCTGGAGAGAAGCTGCTGGATATCGGGGCGTGGTCGTGTGCGAGACCATCTACCCGGCGTGACCCGCTCCCGCGGCCTGCACGTGTGCCCCCCGAGCTCGGCTTCCCTGTCTATGGAACGTCCCTTCCTACCCACACCACCAGAGCCCAACCAGCGCCCTACCCGACGCTCTGCCCGACTCCCTGCTCGACGCCCTACCTGCAGCCCAGCCTGACGGCATGCACGGCACCCGCTCCAACGCCTGCACCAACACCGGCGCTTGTACCAACGCCACGAAGTACGCGGCATCAGCGCCTGACCTCCACTTCAACCGACGACATAGTGACATCGTCGACGCCAATATCCACGTTGGCACATTAGCTGGCACCAAGGTCAGCGCCCACACCAGTACTATCGCCGGCACCGGCGACAGCACCAGCGACTGCGCCTACGCTGACCTCAACGTCTGCTCCAAAATACATCGACTCTTGTGCATGCACCGACGCCTGCACCCGCACCTTCGCCTACGGTGGCAACACGCCTGCGCCTTCGCCGACGTCCATCGTATGACGGATAGCAGCAGCCCGAGGCTGAGCGCCACGATCGGTTCCAGCAGCACAGCGCTGAACATGTTGGGGCGGTTATGCGGGTATGGATTCATTGCCATGCCCGTTCGAAGCAGCACGACGGATGTTGTGCTAATACGACGAGTACCGCGAGGACGAGGACCACGAGCACCACGACTAGCTCCTTAAGCAGCACGGCCACCTCTTTCTCGTCCAGAAGCGGAGGAGACGAGGGGCGAGGGGGAGGGGACATTTGCCCCGGACTCGGTACACCCTGGCATGGAGCACCCGGCTTGCGCGGACAAATCCTGCCCCCCCTCCTGACCTTCGCGAGCCGCTCGGCATGTCTCGTCCGCCAATGAGAATGCCCAGGAAAACAATGATGGACCACGATCTTGACACCCACCGGGAAGCCGCAAGACGAACGCCATCGATCCCGCGTCGAGCAGCTCCACATCATCAGCACCAGCACCGACTCCGACACCATCACCGATACCAGCACCGATTCCAACATCGACCACGGTCGAGAAGCTGCGTCTGCAGTGTCCATGCCAGCAACGACTATATGGTGCCGACGCCGACGCGGACACCAACGTTGACGCCAGTACCGACTTCGTGCGACGACTACCTCGTCGTCGGGCAGCGCCTCGGACACCAGCTGTATGTCACGATTGCCTAGTTCGACTTCGGCTTTGGCTGCAGCTGTGCTCTTCCTCAGTGTTCGACTCCAGCTCCGACTCCACCTCCGACGCCATGCGGCGAGCAACACACACACACACATTTGCGCAGCAACTCGGGTACCAGCTTCGCGATGCCACAAATTACTATGAATTTGGCCGCTCACGGGTTACCTGCAGCATGAGCGGCCCGATGGGTGCAGGGGATTCCTTCAGGGGGAAGCACGACGGGTGCCAGCGGCAAGACGATAAGCACAACGATGGGCACCAGCAGCACGACCGCATCACCTACCAGTGAGTGGCATGGGGGGGCCACTCCCGCGTGTACCACATAGACGTTGAGCACTACGGAGTCGAGACGGAGTCAAACACCATGTCGTCATCTACTGGATGTTCCATGGTCTGGTGGTGTTTTACGGGGTCGTGACAGGGCCACTCACATGGACGCCTTGATCATGTCCATCGGCCTCGCCCTCTGGGGCCAGCCGCAGCTGCCTTCTCCGTCGCGCCTGCCACCTGGCGGCTGCCGCCAGGGCCCGGGGGGCGGTCTAGGCAGCTGTCTCTCTTTCTCGCCCTCTCTCTCTCGCTCTCTCTCTCGCTCTCGCTCTCTCTCTCTCTCTCGCCCTCTCTCTCTCTCTCTCTCTTTCTCGCTCTCTTTCTCGCTCTCTCTCTCTCTCTCTCTCTCTCTCTCTCCCTCTCTCCCTCTCTCCAGCCTGGGCCCCTCGCTGAGCACCGCTGGTTTCTTCATATAGCGGGTGGAGTGGTGCCCATCGCACGCGAGCGATTGGCCCCCAGCGCGGCCGCTGGCGGCCAACCCGAGCCGCTGCGCTGGGCTTTTGCCCTCCCCGCCGCCACTGGTTGGCCTGTGCGTGGCGCCGCGTTGCCACGCAGCTGCTTCCATCGGCTATTCTGCAGTGCCGTTTTTGATACATGCTCCGCGTGCGGACCATGTATTAGAAATAAAGGGTTGATTAATGAAAACAAGGATGATGTTATGCATTAATTTGCTCCTACATTAGCCATGGCTTAAAATCCTATGTTTTTTGTTTTAAAAAATCGATCCAATGCATAAAAAACTGCCCTGCACTTGCCTAGCATACCCTACACTGTGCTTTGGTTGTGCTGGTCCAGCTGTAGACTGTGTATGTGCCTCTCGGCTTCTTGGGCTGGCCCGCCGCTGGAGCCTCGTGCTACGTGGTGGCGTCTACCTGTGTTTTGTTTTTTTTTGTGGGGTCTCACTCTCTCTCTCTCTCCCTCCCTGTCTTCCCTCTCTCTCTCTCTCTCTCCCTCCCTGTCTTCCCTCTCTCTCTCTCTCTCCCTCCCTGTCTTCCCTCCCTGTCTTTTTTTTTTGGGGGGGTCTCTCTCTCTCTCTCTCCCTCCCTGTCTTCCCTCCCTCTCTCTCTCTCTCTCTCTTCTCCTTGCGTTCTCGCCGCCACCTTAGGGTCGATCGATCTGGGGGCGTTTGGCTAGTGCTGTGCTCGTCTCTGTCCGCTGCTGTCTGCCGTTCGCGTGTCCTCCCTCCCTTCCCCGAGTGCCCTCACATATAGCACCCCGCAATTGCGGGTAAGAGTGAGGGGGCGGGCGCGGGCGACGCGGGGGTCGTCAAGCCAGCGGACCTCGTGGCCCCCACCTTCCGTGTCGATGGCGCTCTCCTCCTCCTCTTCCTCGTCCTCGTCCTCGTCCTCATCGTCATCGTCGTCGTCCTCCTCCTCCTCCACCTCGTCCTCCTCCTCCTCTTCCTCCTCCTCTTCTTCCTCGTCCTCCCTCTCCCCCCCTCGTCCTTCCATCATCGTCCTCCCATTGTCGTCATGTTCCTCCTCGTCGTCCTCCTCTTCCCCCCTTCCCGATCCTCCGCCCTCCTTCTTTTCGTCGTCGTTGTCGACGTCGTCGTCGTCGTCCCCTTCTTCCTCCTCCTCCTCCTCCTCCTCCTCCTCCTCCTCCTGCAAAAGCAGCCCGCCGCAGGCGCCGAAAAAATTGGTTTGTACACTGAACGTGGTTTGGGTCGCGGGTGGGCCGCGGGTTCTCCACCGGGAACGAATGCAAAAGATGCCCGCCGCAGGCGCCGAAAATGTGGTTTGTACCCTGAACGTGGTCGCGGGTGGGCCGCGGGCTCTCCACCTGAAACGAATGCAAAAGATGCCCGCCGCAGGCGCCGAAAAATGTGGTTTGTACCCTGAACGTGGTTTGGGTCGCGGGTTGGTCGCGAGTTGGTCGCGGGGTGGGTCGCGGGCTCTCCACCTGGAAGGAATGCAAAAAAAGCCCGCCGCAGGCGCCGAAAATTGTGGTTTGTACCTTGAACGTGGTTTGGGTCGAAGGTGGGTCGCGGGTGGGTCGCGGGGTGGGTCGCTGGGGGTAGCTCGGGTGGGTCGCGGGTGGGTAGCGGGGTTGGTCGCGGGTGGTCGCGGGTGGTCGCGGCGTGTGGGTTGCGCGGGGTGGGTCGCGGGGTGGGGTCGCGGGTGGGTCGCGGGTGGGGTCGCGGGTGGGTCGCGGGGTGGTGGGTCGCGGGGTGGGTCGCGGGGTGGGTTCGCGGGTTGGTCGCGGGTCCGCGGGTGGTCGAGGGTGGGTGCGGGGTGGGTCGCGGGTGGGTCGCGGGGAGGGTTGCGGGTGGGACGACGACAACAAACAACAACAACAATAACAAACAACAACAACAACAACAACAACAACAACAACAACAACAACAACAACAACAACAACAACAACACCAACAACAACAACACCAACAACAACAACACCAACAACAACAACAACAACAACAACAACACGAATCCGCACCGCGGAATCCCACTTCAGCCACGCACCCAGGGACAGTGAATGACCGTTCGGCCCCCTCACTCTGATAATATAAACGGCCGCTTGACCCGCAGGGAGCGGTCGCACAGCGCCCTTGCCCTTTCTCCTCTTCCTCCTCCCCATGCGCGTGCTCGGATTGCGCCCGTGTGAGAGGCATGCACGCGAAACTGCACACCAGGCTGCCGGGCCCGAGAGACGTTGAGGCGGGCGGGTGTTCTCGCGAAAAAAAAACTCCGACCTCACCTGGCCGGACCCCACTTGGTCGCCCTCCACCGATGGCCTCCCTCCGAGCCGACCCCTGTCGGGTGCTCGTGCTGGCACCCAGGCATTCGACTTGTTTTCATCCGACGTCCTGAAGTACGGGCCCTTCCCCAGGGCTGCTTGTTCCCATCTTGAGTAGTTTTGTCGACGGAGGAGGAGGAGGAGGAGGAGGAGGAGGAGGAGGAGGAGGAGGAGGAGGAGGAGGAGGAGGAGGAGGGGGAGAAGAGAGGGGAGGAGGGAGGAGGAAGAGGAGGAGGAGGGAGGAGGAGGAGGAGGAGGAGGGAGGAGGAGGAGGAGGAGGAGGAGGAAGGAGGAGGAGAGGAGGGGGGAGGAGCAGGAGGAGGAGGAGCAGGAGGGGTAGGAGGAGGAGGAGGAGGAGGAGGAGGAGGAGGAGGAGGGGGGAGGAGGAGGGGGAGGAGGGAGGAGGAGGAGGAGGAGAGGAGAGAGGAGGAGGAGGAGGAGGAGGAGGAGGAGGAGGAGGAGGAGGAGGAGGAGGAGGAGGAGGAGGGGGAGGGGAGGGGGAGGAGGAGGAGGAGGAGGAGGAGGAGGAGGAGGAGGAGGAGGAGGAGGAGGAGGAGGAGGGGGAGGAGGAGGAGCCCGGGGCGCGGCGAGGGTCCCCGTAGTCCGAGCATGTCCGGAAGCCTCCCGCCGAGCTCCGTGCACGGCGCGAGCACGTCTGGGCAGCCTCTCCCTTTCGGGCCTGCAGCGCCGGCTGCCCGGCCCCGTCCCCCCTCGGCAGTCAGCGAGGCGCCCCCCTCCAGGAGGGAAAAACACACACACAGACACAATGAATCGTCGGTTCCTCAAAAAATATTGGAAAATATGGGCAGTGGAGGGGAAGACAGAAACCCAGAAAATATGGGAAAACATGGGGGGGTCCTATTATTTGTGTGTTTTTGTTTGTGTGTTTGTGGGCCCCTTCACTTGTGCTTCCTGCGCTTCCCGAGCCGCGCGGGCCTGCCGCCCGAGTCACAATCGGTCGTTCGTCATTGCGCGGAGCCGACTCTTCGCACCCCAAGGGGCCCGAATCGCCCCAGCCCCTTCGGAAACCCGTGCGCTTTCAGTAGGCTCGCGCCTTCGGTCCTCCCGGCGTCCAGGACGGCCCAAGAGTGACGAACCAACAACACACACCCATACCCATAGGGGGGTCGGAAAGGGCTATGGGCGCGCGTGTTGTCGGATGGGGGTCCCCGCTCGAACGGGAGCGTTCCCTGGGGTCCGACAACCCGCACCCATACCCATAGCCAGTCCTCCTCCCAACGACCCCCTCATGGGTATGGGTGTGTCAACAGCGGCGGGCCGCGGCCCGCCGCGGCGATCGCGGGGGCGGGGGCGGGAGGGGGCGAGGCAGAGGAGGAGCCTGAGGAAAACGGCAGAGGTGGAGCACAGAGGAGGAGGAGGAGGAGGAGGAGGAGGAGGAGGAGGAGGAGGAGGAGGAGGAGGAGGAGGAGGAGGAGGGGGAGAGGGAGGAGAGGGAGGAGAGGGAGGAAGAGGGAGGATGAATAGGAGGCCCCAGAATCGCCAGCCTGCGCAGCGCAAAAAGAGGGCGCGCCCGCCAGCGCCTGGCCGCCGCCGGGGTGCGGCAGAGCGTGGTGTCCGAGCTCACGGACTCGAGCAGCCTCCACGGAGAGGCCGCCGCGGGCCGGGGGACGCAGCGAGGAGCAGGAGGAGGAGGAGGAGGAGGAGGAGGAGGAGGAGGAGGAGGACGAGGACGAGGACGAGGAGGAGGAGGAGGTGGAGGAGGAGGAGGAGGAGGAGGAGGAGGAGGAGGAGGGGGAGGAGGAGGAGGAGCAGCAGGAGTGGCTCGGCCCGCGGCCTGCGCGGGTCCCGGCGTAGCTTTCGCGAGGGCGCGCGCGGGGAGGGGCGGGCGGCTCGCCCGGCCCCCGAGCTCCGGGCATGTTGCACCTTTGCTCCACGCCTCGGGCGCTGCTAGAAGTACAGTCGGGACCCTGAAGAAGGAACCCTGTTCGTTGGGGAGGGGCTCCGCGTTCCCTAAGTGTTTCGCAGCCTGCCTCAGGTGTTCCTTATGCTTTCGATCGGAAGTCGAAGTTTAACTTATGGGAAAAAGGGGCCTCGCTCCTTATTTTGGGTTGCTTAGGTCAAGGCCCCGACTGTACCCCTGGCCCAAGGCACCCCCAGGATTCTCGGGTGGCCCAGATGGCCTCCAGGGCACCCCATCACGAGGCCCAGAGGGCCCCAGGGGCTCAGAAATGCAGCGAAAAGCTTGGGCGCGTTCTGGCCATACCGCTCTGGAGTCGATATGCTATAAGACTTGCGACTACATGTTCGTGTCGGACGTGCGCCGCGTCCCACTGGGGTCCAGGACCTGCTTCCCTCAGGACCCTCTTGCTTCGGACCAGCTCGTCGCCGCAGCAAGGTGTCCTGCCCTCTCTGCCCAGGCCCCCCGGCGTGGTGGTGGGCGCACGCAATCGGCTCGCTCTGCTTCCCTTTCTCGCCGCCCTTCTCCGCTGTCCTACGTCCTCTGCCCAGCTGGCCGCCAGTGAGTTCGTGGTCTAAGACCTGCTTGCGCTTCGTGCACGCGTTCGCCAGCGGTTGCCGCCGATCTCGTCGGTGCCTCGTCTGGCGATCCCGCACCCGAGATGGGGAGGCTGCAGTCGTCGTGCTGGTTCAAGGAGCGCTTTCTCCCGACCATCCTGTGGTGCTGGGTCCTCGTTTTGAAGAGAGAACACCCCACGTCCGTCCCTCCCGCCTCCTCTAGCTCCTCCCTCCTCCCATCCCCACTGCCCTCCGCACAAGTCAACCATGTCGGCACACCCCTCACACGCTTCGTGACCCCAGGGGGAGCTTCACCAGAGGACTCAGTGGCTGCCCTCGCATGGCACCACCGCATCTGGTTCGGTACACTCCTCACATGCTTCGTGGCCCTATAGGGCGCTCCACCGAAGGTTCTAGTGGCTGCGTGCGCATGGCACCGCCGCACCCAGTTCGGCACACCCCCTCGCAGGTTTCGTGGTCCATGGGGAGCTCCACTGGAGGCCCCAGTGGCTGCGCTCGCATGGCACCGCCGCGCCCAGTTCGGCGCACCCCTCATACGTTTCGTGGCCCCATGGGGAGCTCCATCGAGGGCCCCAGTGGCTCTGCGCTCGCATGGCACCGCCGCACCCAGTTCGGCGCACCCCTCATACCTTTCGTGGTCCCATGGAGAGCTCCACCGAGGGCCCGGGTGGCTGCGCTCGCATGGCAACACCGCGCCCAATTCGGCGCACCCCTCACACGTTTCCACCGAAGACCCCATTGGCAGCGCCCGCATGGCACCGCCGCGCCCATTTCAGCACACCCCTCACACGTTTCGTGGCCCAGCAGGGAGCTCCACCTAAGGCCGCAGTGGCAGCGTCCTCATGGCACCACTGCACCCGTTTCGGCACGCCGCTCCCACGTTCCGTGGCCCCATAGGGAGCCCAACCGAAGGCCCCAGGGCAGCGCCCGCGCCCATTTCGGCACTCCCCTCACACGTTTCGTGCCCCCAAAGAGAGCTCCATCGAAAGCGGTCGGTACCCACGATGTGGTACCCACAATTGCATATGGTTGGGTTTTTCGCCAGGATAGTTCCCCGAGCGACAGCGGGCGTTATCGGGGGCGGAGGGGAGGGGGGCGGGCCTGGGAACGTCACGTTTCGCGTCGGCGCCATCTTGGAATGCTGAGGAACGACCAACGACAAGTCGGACGTCAGCACGAACCCTGACGTTACCTCCTGGGGGAGGGAGGGCGGCGGCCGGCGGTAACGGCCGCTGTCGCGAAAAGGAAAAACGGTCTCAATGAGCGCCGGGCAAGGAGCGAACATATCTTTCTGGCCACGGCGACCCAGATCTGAGGCGATGCGCGGCCTGTGGCGCTCTTGTATTGCGCCGCCTGTTGGCCCCCGCTCTTCGCCTCCCCCCTGCGAGCCCTTCTCTTTCGCTTCTGCGGCTTCTGTCGGGTGCGCCTCGTGACGTTCGGCCGCGGTGCGTACGTGCTTCATTGCTGCTTCCGCGTCAGTCGGGCTTGCCGATGTCTGGCCCCTTCTGTTCCTCGCCTCCGTCCTGCATGTCGCGTCGCCTATTCTCGCTTGGTTTCCTGCGCGCATAATTTGCTTCATCTTGGCTTCTTTCAGTCCGCCTGCTGCTTTGGCCGCTTCGGCCGACGCTTCATAGCAAAGAATCGAGTGCGCATCCCGTCAGCACTGAGAAGGTGAGTGCGCCCCACAGCGCCGTCGGATGTAACAACTAGGTGTGTTGTGTGCGTGTGCGGCCTTCAGAGAGTTTCTGACTCGCGTTTGGTACGTCGCGGCGGAGGAGACACAGGTGCGCGAGCGTTCAAAGATGCTCGGAGGCGCGCGCGCTAGTGCGTATACACTATATGTCTGTGTGTATGTATTCGGAAGGGTCAGCTTGAAAGAAGTTAGTACCCAGAGACTGCCTCAAAGCGGCAGGTCAGCATGATCGTGTGGTACAGGCATCGCTTACGTATTGTTCGACTGCGTCTTTGGCTTTTCCTAGAGGAGCTGGGGTGGGCAGCTTGATCTTGGAATTTGCCAGGGGGTCTGTGTTGGATCGGCCCCGAGACAGTCTGCCAAGAAGGGGGTTGGCGAGGGCAAATCCGCTCAAAATCGATCCCCGGGCCCCTCCTGGGTTCGAAGCTGTCAAGTTGTCCGAGCTACGTGGCGGCGAGGGGGGCCCTTTCTCTGGCCTTTCTCTTTGCCTGAAATTATCCTGGGCCTCCTGAACCCCCCAGCCTTCTACAAGTTTGATCACAGTCATGTTGAAGAGGTTTTGTGACCGCAGGGTCATTTACGAGTCAGCGTCGGTGATGGACTTGAAGATTGTTCGCCGTAGCCGTGATCCTTTCAATGTCGTTCTTGGTTGTGGCATTGGTGTGAGAGTGATGCTGTAGGTGACGACGATTCCGTAATTGTACGTCGTGGTTGTTGCGTCACATTTTCCACCAGCAGCCATTGGGGGGAACCTCTCCACGTACTCAATGCTGCCGCGGAACGAGGAGAGAAGGGCGTCACGAGCAGTCATCTCTTATCATTGTCTTCCTCCTCTTCCACTCCTCCCAACAATTTCCACTCCTCCTCTCTTGTCATTCGTCTTCCCGCCGTCTTTCTCGTCCCCCCTCCTCCTCCTCTTCGTTCCCCTCCTCCTCCTCCTCCACCTCCTCCTCCTCCTCCTCCTCCTCCTCTGCCTCCAATCGCCCACTGTTTCGCAGAGTTGCCCTCTGGTTTGCCAGGCTTGGCATAGACTATGAGGGGGCGTTTTCTTGACCATCTGCAAAAACAGGTGTATGTAGTAGCGTTCGGAAGACGGCCCCAAATCGTTCATAGCCGCTGGAGGTCGCCTGCGATCGTGTGAATCCCGTACAGCGCCTTCGAGAGATGGCGAAATCACTGATTCGGTCTTGCCCGTGCTGATTTGTGGTGGCAGTCTCCACGGCCGTTAGGGCGAGAGAAGCTAGCATCAAGCTTCACCGTGTTCCCTCGCACCATTCGAAGCCAGACACGTTTGAAAGGTTCCGGGGGGCCGCTGATCCCGATCATGTACGGTAGGTTTGCGTCGTGTCGACCAGCGGCGACCCCAGCGCGGGCGTTCAAGGTTGAACGCCGCCGGCGACCCAGAATCGATCGATGTTGAACGATCGGACGTTGCGGCAGCGGCCGATCGTTCAAGGTTGAACGATCCCTGCGGTGTCAAAAACCAACGCCGGGGTCGACACGACACGAACCTGCCGTACACATCTACCGCGCAGCGGACGAGCTGGCGGATAGCCGAGCTGCACGCTGCCAGATTACGGTTGCCCAGTGTCCAGCTCTGCTGGCCTTGGAGTTCGAGGCTGAGCCAGTACTCCTGCGCACTGTCACTCTCACCACTGTCGCAGCCACCAGGCCGAAGGATCGATCGGGAGCCGTCGCCAAAGTCAGGGTTGCTCGGCTCACGGCACTCAGACAGAGAAGGATCGCCATCTTGGAGAGCTCTCCTCGCGAACGTTGCCTCGCCGAGCCTGGCCCTTGGCAGTGCGCACAGCGCGGCCTCCATGCCAGAAGAGGAGCCCACGGGATGTTAGGGCCGCCCTTGGCCGGTCTGCCCTGCCCTGGCTGCCGGGGGGGCACCAATCCTGCCTCCTGGCGATCGCCCCGCTGTGGAGCCTGCGGGGCCACTGGATGCCTCTCTGTGGGAGCAGCTTGGCTCATGATGTTCCAACCTGCTTTCGCTTCGATCACCAGCAAGCATGTCGAGCGCCAGAAAGGTGCCCCAACACTCTTAGGGTTTTCACGTGTCAAGCCCTGGGAGACACTCGTCCGACACTGTTCCGACACTGTTTCGACACTCTTTCGACGCTTTTCCAGGTGCTCGAAATTATTTGTGGGATGTGGTCCTTAAGTACGATGGGATCAACATAAGGCTTGGCATGGATGAGCCGCCTGCGCTGGTTGATCACCCTACCTTCGCAGCTGGGCAGCAGAGTGCCGCCTCCAGTACACGATGTTTCAAAAGTGATTATGTACTGCGGATTGCGCGGGGAGCTGGCTCAGCAGAAGCCAGGTCACTTCCTTGCTGGTTGCGTCGCGGTCCTTGTTGAAAGCCCCCCACAGGGGTTCTCCTAAGCAGCTTCAGGCCCTGCAGGGAGCCCTGCAGGGAGCCCTCCATCTCCTCCGCCTCCTCCTCCGCCTCCTCCTCGTCCTCCTTATCCTCCTCCTCCTCCTCCTCCTCCTCCTCCTCCTCCTCCTCCTCCTCCTCCTCCTCCTCCTCCTCCTCCTGGGTTGGCCACCCCAGCAGAAGCCACACTCTTGGAGCCGAGGCCAGCAGCCCCTGGCAGAGCTTGGCAGCGCGGGCACGCCACTAGCTTCCACCGCCTCTTGGGCCCCTGGGAGTGCGGGCGTACTGTCTGCCAGTCTAACGGAGGAGGAAGAGGAGGAGGAGGAGGAGGAGGAGGAGGAGGGGGAGGAGGGGGAGGAGGAGGGGGAGGAGGAAGAAGTCGATCAGCCACAAGCTGGGACCGGGCCTTTTGTTTGCAGCACTGCCATGCATTCTCGGTCCTTGCGGCGCCTGGTGCAAGCATTGCGCGCTGAGGACGACGGGGGGCCCTTGGCAAACGCATAGAGGAGGCGGATGGGGAGTCGTCGGAATAATGCACGCCCTCCCGCCGGACCCCAGTGTTGGTCTACGCTTCGCTCTTCCTCCCTCCCTGCACCTGCCCTTCGTATTGTTTTCTGGGCCCGTTGCAGTCTCACCCAGGAAGTTGTAATTTGGTGTCCAGGGTTTAGCTTATTGAAGCAGACAGTCACAAATCCCCCTCCACCTCCTCCTCCTCCTCCACCCCTCATCATCACCATCCCCCTTCAACCACCCTCTTCCTCCATTCTTCCAGTCCTCCTCATCCCCCTGCGTCCACCCCTCTCCTTCACCCTCCCCGTCCTCCCTAGCTCCTCCACCTTCGTCATTCCCTCCTGCTTATCATGCCTCGGCGTCCCCCTTTCGCTTTCCCCACAGTCGGGACAGTTTTCTTTGTGGTGGCGTTCGTTTTTTCGGGCGCCGTGGACGGAGTTGCGGCCTCAGCCGCCTCATAAGAGCAGCGTTCCATATCGGGGTAAGAAAAGCTCATCCCTCCTCCCGTTGCTGGAGGGCGCCAGCCTTGCCCGATCGAAGTGTCCGATCCGATCGATTAAAAGTCGAAGACCCAGGTCCGATCGCAAATACACGGTCTAGGTTGAGCGGAAGAGCGAGGCTCGATCGAAAACCGAGAACCGATCGAGGGCTGAGACTCGATCGAGGATCGCTCGAGGATCGAGGGTCCTCTCCCGAGGAGCCGTTCGTCGACCTCCGCTCCTCCCTGCTCTCGGGGGCCATGGTGGCCGTGATCTTCGCCTCCATCGCGTGCAGCGTGGCCTACGGGGGCGGGCGGTCTGGCGCCCGTGCGGCAGGGTTCGCCGAGGCGCTCGCCTTCTGCCCTGTCCCGCGGGAAGGAGGGGGGCGGGATCGATGGGGCTGGAGGGGGGGGGGCCGAGGAGGGGAGGGGGACTGAGGAGAATGTGGGAAGGGCCCTCCCCGCAACCTCCCTTGCCGTCTTGTCTTGTGCGGAGGCAGGGGGGGAGGAGGGGGGGGGGGAAGGAGGAGGAGGAGGAGGAGGAGGAGGAGGAGGAGGAAATGGAGGAAATGGAGGAGGAGGAGAAGGATAGAGAATACAGTGGAGGAAGAGGAGGGAGGAGGAGGAGAAGAGGAGGAGGAGGAGGAGGAGGAGGAGGAGGAGGAGGATGGAGAGAGTGGAAGGGGGAGAGGGGAGGATCAGGAAAAGGAATCGGAGGACCAGTGCAAGCCCAAGAAGCATTCTCGATGTTGGAATATACCCTCCCTCCAGGTCCCCTCCTTCTACGTCCCTACAAGAACTGGTCTTCATTGCGAGAAGGGCCCCATTAAACGATAGCCGCTTGATGATATTCGACCGTGCCAACATAGCATCCCGGCGACTCCAGCGCTTCGAGTCAATGTGACCGTTGCGAGTCGACGGGGTCGCTGCGACCTTACAACCCCAATCGCACCAGAACGCAATTCGTGGGACTTCACCAGCCCTTCGTTTCTTTGACACCACGGCAAACGTTTGCGAATGCGCGCGGCGCTATGGCGAAAACCACTTGTTGAAACGCAGCCGACCTCCATCCTTGACTTTGTTGCAGAATTTGAAGACGAGTGTGCACGGCGCTAACTCGAGAGCCGCATGTTTGAAACGGCCCCCCTCCATCCTTCAAGCTGCTGCTGACTTCTAAGACGAGTGTGCGCGGCGCTGAGGCGAGAGCGGCATATGGCAAACCTCCCGCCGTCCATCCCTGAAGCTGCTGCAGAGCTCGGGCTTCGGGATCATACGGGGTGAGGAAGTCTCTGGCGAAACGCCCGGCCCGCCCTACCAATTCGTCCTGGGCGCGACAGGGAGAAGCTGTCTACAAGGGCAGAGGATGGGGGAGGAGGAGGAGGAGGAGGAGGAGGAGGAGGATGAGGAGGAGGATAGAGGAAGGAGGGAGGAGGGAGGAAGGATGAGGAGGACCGCTGTCGGGGTAGCCCGCGCTGCTTTCGCTGCCGGGCTGTGCGCTGCCGGGAGGAGAGGGATGTCGTCGTTGTTTGTAGAGTTTGCGGGCCGTGTTCCGAGGCATCTGGCAGGTTTCGGTCGGTTGGCGGGGGTTGAGGGGCGTTTCTCCTGAGGTGCGCGCGAGGATGGAGGCGCGCGCGCGCGTACAGAGCCAGGATTTGTTTCGCAGACCTATCGGCTCGACTACTCGACCTGACCGCTAAGCTGACAATGTTTGGCTTCCTCATCTCAACGCTGGTGCACAATCTTGTGCCAGCGCGGCCTTTTGAAAGGACTCTGACGCAATGGACTGAGGCTAGTAGGAGGTTGCAGCTGCTGTCCGCTTGACAGGGAGGGAGAGAGAGAGAGAGAGAGAGGGAGAGGGGAGGAACGGAGGGAGAGTGAGCCCCCCGCCAGAGAAGTTGTACTCGAGCTCTCTCCCTCTCGTCCTCTCCCTCTCCCTTACCCCTTGCCTGCCTGCGCAGGAGGGGTTCACTCGGGGCCTCCGAAGCAGGAGGGGAAGGCACGCCGAGCCGCCTCCATCAAGGGAGGTTTTGTCAGCCCACGACAGGGGGGCGCCAGCCCCGCCGGGGTCCGCGACGGGAGACGGCACAGCCTTCCCCGATCAATCAGGCCAAGCCTTTCCCTTCCCCGACAGTTTCCCTGCTGTCAAACAATTATCCTCCCGCTTCCTCCTTCTCCCGTTTCCTCCTCTTTCTCCTCCTCCTCCTCCTCCTCCTCCTCCTCCTCCTCCTCCTCTTCCCCCCCTCCTCCTCCTCCCCTCCTCCTCCTCCTCCTCCTCCTCCTTCTCCCCGTGCTCGGTGAGCCCTGGGGTGCATCGGCGGCCAAGATTCTTGAGCTTCCCGCGAGAAGGGACGCCCGTCCCACCGCAGCCTTGGCACCAACACGCACCCCGTAAAGCATCAACACGAGGGGAGTCATGGATCTGAGCAGGAAAACCCGCACACGGTGACTGCAGGAAGGCCTCCTTGCTCCCTCCGTCACCTGCAAAACACATTGCGCACCTCCAAGGGCCAGGAGCACGCTGCTCCACAGATTGCTGGGTCTGGTTCAACAGATGGGCCAAGGAATCTTGATGAGCCTGCTTGGCCTGGGCGGGACGGGCCTTGGCTTCCTCCCGGCGATTTCCCTTGGCCGCTGCCCCGTAAAGGGTTGGCGCCTGCTTGACCAGGGAAACTGAAACAGCCAGGAGGGAATCCAGGACCTGGGAGCATAGATTGCCCGCCCGGAGCACTTCCCGACGGTTCTCAAAAGGAACCTGGGCCAAACGCGCTCCTTCCTCCGCCACCTTGTCAGGCAATCGATTTGAATGCCAGTCGATAGGGTCGTAACCTAACGCTTGGGCGTCCTCGAGAGTTCAATGCGACCTGATCTTGGGAACTGCAACTGGCCGGTGTCCAACAGCTGCCCAGGAATCGGCCCAGAGATGCGCCATCTGTTTGTGCTTGAGGCGGCGTCCCGCTCTAATCTCCGAAATAACACCAGCACTATCTATGACACAAGTGATCGGCCAAGTGGTAACCTGGGCGGCACGGGTGCGAGCATATAATTCTGCTGCCGGGACTGTGCGCCGATCAACCGGCATGGGACCCAGTCACCCAGTCCCCAGGCCAAGTGCTGGGATCCGCGGAGAGTGACAAACCCCCAGCCGCCAGCGTTTCAGCCTAGGGTCCCCGCTCTCCTCCCCGCCAGCCCCGTCCGACCCAATCACGCACCCCCGAGTCAAGCTGGGAAAGATCAACCAGGAGCTGCGGACTGAGGCGCTCCGCGCCCTGGATGGGAACATAACCAACGCTGGTAGGTCCAGCGGAGCGGGGGAGGGCCTCTCGGCTAGAAACTTGGCATGTCGGTCGCGCCATCTTCTGCCTGGGCAACTAATCCGGCTTTAAATCCAGAGATTTGGCGGTTGGCGGGGCATGTCCAGAGCTGGTGCAGCAGAGCCTCTTGAGATGCTCCGCGCCGAGGGCAACTCGGGGAGATCCACGCGGGGCCGGAGGCTAGAGGCGGCTCCTCGTCACAGAGCCCACGCTCCATGGCCTCCTCCTCCTCCTCCTGCGCGAAGTCCTCCCTCTCAGCCTCCTGCACCATGGCTTCAAACAAACGAATCCATCTTCTGCCGCTGCCGCTGCCGCCCGAGGAGGGCAGGGCAGGGGCCGAGGGGGCCGAAAGAGGGGCCTCCTCCTCCAGAGAAGGAGGAGGAGGATGGGCCCTCGGAAAAGGCCTCCGAGCCTCATCCCCGAAACGCCGAGACGCGGGCCAGAGAGCTCCAGACAGAATCATCTCTAAGACTGCTGCCTGATCGTACGCTCCAGTCGAACGGAGCTAGCTTGTTGAGCTTGCGTAGCGGGATGAACATGTCAGCACGGTCGGTCAACGAGGCTGCTACGATGGTAGCGCTCGCTTGCTTTTTCCCAGGCCTGCTTGTCGACGCCGTCGAGCAGGGCAAAATCCAGCAAACGCTCCTGATCACATGTTACAACTTGGAAAACTTCGCCGTCGAGACCCGCAGCCCCAGAGAGCCTGTGGGAGCCAGCCCGTGCGTACAAGGCATTTCGCCCTGCGGTCCGTCTTGACTACGCGCTAAATTAGGCTGGCCCTGTGGCCAGCAGCAGCGAAGCGTTGCCTGAGGATTGCAGCCGAGCTTCGTGAACCCACGGTGCCCATGCCCAGTTCCTTCCCGATTGTGCCCCCCCCCCCCAGAGGCGGAACCCTTTCGGGGCCAAGTCCGCAAGGATCCCCGGGGCAAGATGGGACGGGTTGGCAAGGACCTGACTCTTGCGCGAAATAACAAGCCCACCATCCCGAAGAAGCCGGCCTGGGCCCTCGCTGGCTCGGGCAGCCTGCTGGCTCAGGTCATCCACCCAATACTCCAAGACCAGGGGGCGGAAATCGTCGTGGGCCGTCCCCAGGATGTTCCACAGGGCCACCTTGGCACTGTCAACGCTCTGCGAGCACCCTGCGGGCAAGCTCCTGCCCGGAATGCTGATATTTGAGACCGCTCCCGAGGCTCGGAGGCGCCGAGGGGCCCGGTGCATGCCCCGGGCAAGGAAAAGTGGCATGAGCGGGCAGTCAAGTCGACTGGTTATGTACACCCGAACATGATGATACAATTGTTCTAAATCCCAGATCCACCTGGATCCAGCTAAGGCCGACCTGGATCCAGCTAAGGCCCATTGCGGAAGCCACCTCTCGCAGCTGGTCTGGCGCAGAAGGGCCGCCCTTCAAGCAGAGGAGTCCCTCGCGGCCCGATCCCAAAACTGAGCCCGCTCCGACGTCCACCTCGCTATATCGCAACGTTGGGCTCGGCCCCAGACGCAATAGAGACCCTGCGTGAGGGCAATCGGTCTGTCAGACTCGACGCTCTTAAACATCAGCTGCATTATGATCATGCGAGCCTGCGGCGGCCAGGTCAGCGTGCGATCCACCTCCCGTAACAGGTCCAAAAGTTGCTGATGGGCTTCCAGTGGTAGCTTGACCAGTCCCTGGGATTCTGAAAATCAGCCCCCCGACCCACGACGAGCCGAAAACATTTCAAAGCATCTAAAAGCTGGCACCCCGTGAGCGAATCTTGCTCCCTGGAGTCCAAAATGGCTCTGGCACGGAAGTTCTCCCACCGGGCCGTTTCAGGGTCGTGTGTCCCCGCGAGCCAAAGGTGCCTCCAGAAATCGCGCTTCGAGGCCAATGCAGCTTTCGAGTCAAAGAGGAATTCGCCCTCTGGGGAGCGTTCAGAGCTAAGTTCGGGAGCCTCCAGCCCCCAAGTCTTGGTGTAAAAATGCAAGGCCCCGCAGCCCTTGCCAAGGGACTGCCTCACCCAATCCTTGAAGCCCCTGGAGGAGAGCCTGGAGAGGAGGCCT